GAAATATAATACTGAGTCTATACATTCAGCAGAATGAGGTGAGAGTTTTGTGTGGCAAGGGAGGAATCATATTTTTAAATGCTCTATATTGCAATTTTTAAGAGAAGTGGGGGAACTATATTTTAATAAATTATTCTTTATATGCTATTTTTCTACCTGCAGGTAGCTTTATTTCTCTAGAGAAAGTCAGTTAAAATGATTAACTGCAATTCCATTGGTGTGCTTTAAAATTTAGCATTACAGGTTGTTGTATGAATTTGGATGTGTGCCTGGGGGAATTTGGGATGTGTGTTCGGGGGGGGGGGAAGAGATGCCATTGATTGGGCAATAAAATATCACAGACAATAGGAATGGACTGTATGTCGATTTCATTTTCTCTCCATTTGTTATTTTTGTGAACTGCAGGATATTGTCGTAAATGTCGTAAATGTCCTCCAGTTTTGAAACACCTGAATCTCAATCACATGACTGCAGGGGTGTTGCAATGGTCATAAATGCAAGGATCGATTTCAAAGTTATTTTTTCAGCCCAGTCATTAAGGAAGCACTACCTATATGTGTGCATAAATATATAATTAGGTGACTATCCATATTTGAAGTGTAAGGATCAAGTGCTCACTAGATGGCAGCAAAGAATTATAGGAGATTCCAATTCTTGTGACCCTCTAGTAATTTTTCTGACTTTGCAATTCACTTCTAATAGCATTTAAGTGTGCGACCATTTGCTGGACCTATTTTGAGGGAGGTACAAGGTTATAATACAGAAAAGGCATGGATAAAGGCAGCATTTTTCAGATCTGTTCTTCCTTAAGTTTTGTACTTGCCTATTTTATTTTATTTTATTTTATTTTAAATTTGTGTTCCTTATGATAAAGCTACAGTATTTACAAGTTTCCTGCTGCAGAATATCGGGTAATATAGCTGCTGATTTTTTTTTAACCATTACCACTTTTTATTATTTTTTAACAATTTGCTAAAGTTGGGAGAAAGCTTTTGGATTGGAAAATAGAAATGCACAGGCGGTTTGATGCTTCTAAAGCAGTGATGGCGAACCTATGGCACAGGTGCCAGAGATGGCATTCAGAGCCCTCTCTGTGGGCACACGCGCCATCGCCCCAGTCCTAGGCCTTCAGCTGGGTTTTATAAAACCTTTTCACTTTAGGCCTCTGCCGCTGTGTGCAAAAAAAAAAAAAAAAGGTTCAATCAGTCAATTTCAACTTCTCACGGGAAAAAAAAGATCATGCAAAATTGGAATTGATTAATTGAACTTTTTAGCCCCAGCCAGTCTGCCATTATCACCGCAGCCATCCCACCCAATGGGCCACACCCACCTAATGGGCCACACCCACCTGGCACTTGACGATGCATGGGTGGGTTTTGGGTTGTAGTTTGGGCACTTGGACTCTAAAAGGTTCGCCATCACTGTTCTAAAGTAACACTTGCCACTCTGATTTGAGTAATTCTTCTCCTAAAACTGTTTTTAAACATCAGTAGGATAAATCATCTGCATGTTTTTCTGTTCTTCACCAAACTTTATGGATTAATATTTTTTGATATATGGCAGCACTGAAAGTTATGTTATGTTGCTGTATAGCTTAACACAGGGCTATACTGGTTATCAGAGAACATATTTCTCTTGTGAAGCTTCCCAAGGGGAATTATTACTGGATAATTACTCTTGAAATGTAATGATCAGAAAGGGCTAGAGCAGTTTTTCTCAATCTCAAAAGGTTTAAGATGTGTGGACTTCAACTCCCAGAATTCCCAACTACACATCTTAAATCTGCTGAGTCTGAGAAACACAGGCGAAATGGTGTAGGGTTTCCTGCCTGAGCAGGGGGTTGGACTTGATGACCTCCAAGGTCCCTTCCAACTTTATTATTGTTGTTGTTGTTGTTATCATTATTAAGATAGGCACAATGATCTTTCATTTGTATCCTCCTTTATTTTCCCAATAATTATTCCATTTTATTATTGTTAAAGTAGGAAAACTAGAACAGCTCCTCAGTGTACTTTGATTGGTAACACTGAGAAAAAAAAAATCTTTGAGGCATTCCTGAGGTTTTGTTTTATTCCAGCAGGCAGTGTGGGTCTACCTTTAAATCAGGGGCATCCATAATGCTAATGAAAAAAGCATTTTGGTCTACTGCCAAGAATGCTTGGGGATCCTTAAGAAAAGCAATGCCCATCATTGTAAAATACGACTTTCAAACAGTTCTGCATATATCTAGTCAGAAGCCAATCTAATTGGTCTTGATGGGATTTACTTCACATTAAGCATGAATGGAAGTACACCTTTCACTTAGCCACTATCTGTCAAGGTTGTGGGAATGCCGCCTGGCTACCTGATGGTCTGCAATGACCGTAAGCCATCGCCTTTGAAAGCCATGTTCGATGGATGGCTGGAGAAACTCGCCTATTTTCTGAACCAGGTGTGGATCTACCTGGAGCGGCATGGAGCAGCATTCCTGGATGAAGGGGCTAATGTAAATGCCATTACTGTGAATCTGGAAGGGGAAGCTGCTGAATGGCTGGTGATGCTCCACAATGAGGGAGCTCTGGAATTGGGAAACGTCAACACCTTCCTAGAGGGGCTCCGGGCCAGATTCGGGGATTCCACATAAGCCTGCTGGGCGGAATCTGGTATCTGCTCCCTAAGGCAGGGGAACCAGTCTATGGATGAGTACATTTGGGAGTTTTGCAGCCTGGCCGGGAAGCTGAGAGGGTGGCCAGAACATCCAGTGGTCCACCAGTTTTGACATGGACTAAACAGAGAGAGGTACCAGAATTGCCTGCCCTGGGAATCCCTGACTATCTCCGGGCATGGTATCAACTGACCACGACAGTGGAACTGGATCCGATGGAGTATCAGTGACAGGCTGTGCCAGAGAGCCACCCTTGCCCAAGCCAAGAGAAGCACCCGCCAACACATAGAGGGGGAGGGGCCCTCCTCCGATCGCTAGAGAGGGTATGTGTCGCCCTGCAGGAGCTTGCTTCCAATTGGGAAAGAAGGCCACAGAGCGGCCAATTGCCTGGCCTGCCAGTCCATGTCAATGTCAAGGACCCCCCAGCCAGGAAAACCAGAGCTGGTTTTGCTTCTTCAATCCCGAGATGTGTACTCAATAAAATTTATCTTTTATGGCACTTCAAAGCCTCGAAGATTTCTTGATTTTGAGTTCACTAGTCAGACAGTTGACATTATCATTTCCTTTATGCTTGTGTCACTGATAAACTTCAGCTTTGGTGACCTCATAGGAAATGATTTTGATTTGGATTGGTTTGGTTTGTACAAAAGGTGTACAAAAGCAATACTTCCAAGCATACCCACTGCATGCCATCGCTATCTGATACTGCAGGTTATTTCAAGTAGCCACTATTTGCTGTTGCAAATTCTCATTTGAAGAAGCATCTTCCAAAGAAATAAGGCACAACTGTAATTCATAAAGTTCTTTGGGGTACAATTTGCAGCCACACTGTAATCTTTTATCAAGAGACACTGCAAACTGGAGTTTCAAAAGAAGAATGCTAAACATGCTGCATGGATGGGAGACAGTTCATTTCAAGAGCAAGACATCTGCCCTTGAAAGGTGGCTAAAAATGGGGTTACAGAGACTAGAAATATTTATAGGGAAGGTGATCTCTGTGGTGGTATAGAATATGAGTGTGTATGTGTCTTATATGATGTTTAATTTGGTGAACATGTAACTTTAGTGAGGAAAATACTTTAATAACTTTTCTTGTGCTTACAGATACTTTTCTTTGATCTGTGGATTAAGTTGGGGTATCTCATCTGTGGTTCAAGAAAGTTTGTGTAAAGGATTTCCCCTGTTTATTACTCTTACTTGCTTCAATCAATTTCAGCTCAGCTGTCAATTATTTAGGCCTCATTCAGCAATCTTTTGCAACATTGCATTTACCTTTGAGAAGTCCTTGGTGCTCTTGAGTAGTTTCTTCCCATGCCTAAGCCTAAAGGAGATTAGATTTGAATCTCTCATAGAATCTGATAGTGTTCAAGAGCCTGATTGGCTGGATGCAACCTGTTATGGGCCCTTCTTCCACTGTCATCCAGAGAACAGGACACAGGAGGAGTGTGGTAGAGCTGCACAGATATTTATAGATCTCAGCCAGCACTTTGGATTTGGTTTCAGCTCCCAGGATCCATCAGCACATTCCTGAGACTACTGGGAATGTGTCTCCATTCCAGGTCACTGTCTCCCACTTTAAATCCCCAGGACCATCTCTTTAGCTTATGAGCACATAGTTCCCCTCAACCTCCCCCTCCAAATCTTTTTATGCCATACTCTAGTCTTTTCCTTATTCATGCCCTTCACTATTTTGATACTCTCACAAACTTTCCTTTCAGTCTGTCCAGCCTTGCACTTCATCCAACACCAATAAATCAAAGGAGGAAATGTTGACAATGTATTTATGTTGTTTTATTTTAGTGCAAGCTTAAATAAAATGGTCATGTTACAACATTTAAATGAAAATAAATACACATAAACGCAAAAGCACTTACAACAAGGTACTTGTTATTGCTATTCTTTTTTCATCTTCTCGAGCCCAATTTCTAGACTGTTTGGTTTCGTGAAATCCAGCTATCGGCTCTAAATGCAAAAAGTCCTTTTTTCCTTTCAAGGACAGATTCCTTAGTCTAATTCCAGAGAATCAAAGAAATCAGAAATCTGCTAGATTACACACTTCTGAGTCTGATACCAACCTAGGAGCTCATATTTCTCATTGCACTAAAACTTGCTGGCTTCTACTTTGAGGGACTAAGGTGCAGTTGCTCTGAGCAGCTAATAATAGCATGGTGGTATGGCAAAGAGTTTAGTTCCCTAATGTTGCTTCCCAACTCATTCCAGCCCAGTGTTGTCATATAAGGGCATGGCAGGAAGCCCATGGCTTGATTTTCACATCTATCCTGGAGGCCAGGCCAGGCAACCATTGGCTGTGAGCTGAAGGGCTAATCTAGGCCAGCTGCAAACGTCACTCACATAAGCCCTAACTGGAAACAGTATTCTACCCCTGAGTTCTCCTTGTGTGCTGTCTGCCTTTCCTGATTGCCTGTCTTTGGGATCTCCACTGAGAATTCTGGGTGCAGGCAGCAGGGCTCTTATCATGGCTTCCTGGAAAGTCTGTATGCTTGGCCTTCTTCTGGTCCTGCTCTGTTCATTCCAGCTTCCTAGAACACAGGGTCAGCAACACAATCACCACAGCGATGTAGAATACCATGGAAATGAACATCATCATCCCAAAGAGCATCACCATGACGCACACCATTATCAACATACCAAAGATGATGGTGCTGATGATGGCCATGCTCACCATCATGCTGCTCAGTATGCTGGACATTACCAAGGAAGTCATAATTCTCAACATGATGATGATGATGATAATGAAGAGGAACACCATCATCCTCATAGTACAGATCATCACATTGACCATCACCACCATGATGATAGTAATGATGATGATGATGATAATGACAGCCAGAGTAAGCACCATCATGATAAACATCATGGAAATCAACATGATGGTGATGATGATGACCATTATCATCAGGGACATCATGAAGACCACCATCACCATCACAGTGACAAAGAGAGACACCATCATGAAGACCATCAGCATCAAGAAGACAATAATGATGAAGATGATGCTGAACACCAGCACCACTATCATCATCAAATGCATGATGATGATGATGATGATGATAAAGATGATGATGACAGTCAGTCACATCATGACTATCACAGCCACCACCACCACCACCATAAAGATGATGACAGTGATGACAATAATGATAATGAAGATCAACATCACAATTATAGACATCATGGAGATCATGACAATGATGATGATGATGACAATGATGATGACGACGACGATGATGATGATGACAATGATGACGATGACAACAATGATGATGTTCGTCATCATCAACGCCATCACCAAAAGCATGCTGCTGCTAATGATGATGATAAGCATCACCATCCCCATGAAGAAGTAGAAAAAGAAGAAGAAGAAGAAGAAGAAGAAGAAGAAGAAGAAGAAGAAGAAGAAGAAGAAGAAGAAGAAGAAGAAAGCAATGATAGTAACGAAGATGAGGATGATGAAGATACAGCTCACAAATCCACTCACAAAAGTGGTCATCATCACCATAGGAAACATGATGATGAAGAAGAGTCTGATGAAGTACCTCCAAAGGAGAAGGATAAGCATAAGTATGAACGACACAGACAAAAGCGTCATAAACATGAGATCCATGAAAAAGCCAAAAAGCACCATGGAGAGGAAAAAGGTGAGAAATGTGTGAATATTGTGGGGAGGTGTATGATTGACGTGTGGTTTTTCTTAGGGAAAAACTGAAGGGAAATCTTATCTAACCTGGTCTCCAGCCATCAGAGAAAAAGTGATTTGATATCTACATCTGGAGGACAGCTGGTTGGGGAAAAATGTATTGGGAAAAGCAGATATGATGAGGAAAGTCAGCAATACATGCTTCAGTTGCCATCATAGCCTCCATTAATATTTCAGAGAACCTGAAAATTTTGTTTTCCCTGACCTATGTTTCTCAATGAAGCAATCCAATCTCCAAGACCCTATTCCAGCTTTCACCACTTGACAGCCCAAGTGTATAGGACTAGAGCACCCTTAAAAGAATAATAAAATATCAAAGTTGAAAGGGACTTTGGAGGTATTCTAGTCCAACCCCATGCTTAAACAGGATGTCCCATACCATTCCAGACCAGTGGCTGTCCAGTCTCTTCTTAAAAGCCTCCAATGATGGAGCACCCCAACATCTGAAGGCAACTCTTTTCACTGGTTAATTGTTCTCATTGTTAGAAAATTTCTCCTTAGTTCTGCTTCTCTCCTTGATTACGTTTCCATCCATTGTTTCTAGTCTTGTGTTCTGGTGCTTTGGAAGATAAGTTGATTCCTTCTTCTTTAAGGCAGCCCCTCAAATACTGGAGCACTGCCATCATGTCTATAATTGCTATAATTATAGCAATTATAGACATGCTATAATTGAATTAAAATTGAATTGATTTATAGCATTGAATTATAGCACAGCTATAATTCAAAGATCATGCAATCTGTAAATAATAGAAACTAGATCTACTACCCTGCTCTGGTAAGGTGAGGTAAATAACCTAATGCTTTTATTCTTGGCTCTCAGCCTCTTTCCAAATCAAATGAACTTTATACTTTCTTCAGAAAACTCAAAAATTCAACCATCTCCTGTTCAGTCCCTACTCTATGGGCCTCGTTTCCTACTCGATTTATAGTCACTCTCTAGAACTATCCTACCAAAAAATAAAAAAAATCAGAGATCAACCATAATGGAGTTGTCTCTGTGTCTTTCTTTTCATTTGAAGATGAGGATGAGGATGAGGATGAAGAGGAAGAGGAAGAAGGTGAAGACAATGAGTATGAAGCAGGTTCTGTTTGCCACTACTGTGCCTTCTGCAAGGTAATGCAGGAAAACCTTTGCATGTGATTTTGATAGGTTATTATTCCCAGTTAGGAACCTAATACAAATTGCTGACCTCTAATGCTCCCATTAATATGGGCTACGGTGAGAGCTGGTAAAACTTTTTATTCAGCAAATTTTGAAAGATCACTGGTTCTTTATTCCTATTCTAATACTAAAGTGATATGGCTTTTCATTCCCCCTTGAAGTATAGTTTCCTTCTCATCCCCTTTTAATTTGGGAGCATTACGTAACACACCCTTCACAAGGATACCTTTTTGCCTCTGTCTTTCCACCAATACATTGGGGACTATACTGTGGCATGAATTCTCCTCCCTTACGCTCCTTATTTCTGGTTAGGTCTTTGCACAAATGAAGCAGTATATAAGTCTATTTCATTTGCTTCTTACCATTAAAGCTGGTCTGCTCCTGATCTGAACATTCTGGTTCAGAGACAGTAATTTGGCGGGTGGGGGGGGGATCAAGGAATGTGGTATGTGTAGCTTGTCCTTCCCTTGCTATACACACTTTGTTTCTGCTTATATAGTGCACATATATGAAGTACATGAGCTCAGAATCCTCTCTGAAAAAAATAATGAAATACTTTTAGTGCTTTTTTTCTAAAAAAAAAACAAAAAAAAAAAAACATAGAACCCGCCTTGCCTATCCTACAAGGTTCCATCCAAAAAAGGTGTCGGAACTCCATTCTGGGCGTTCTATGACAAAAAAAGCCCTGGTTTTACATGTCTATGTATGTCTGTATACACATGCATATACACTCTTAACATTTTCTGATAATTTCCCCTGGTCACAGATTTACTGTCCATACTTCCTAAGATTGTTAAACTGCTGCAACCCCAGCAAATTAACTTGTTTCTTTTTTCCCCCCTCTTAGCTTCAGATTTATTTTAGAAAGTTACTGAAAATCTTTGGTATATATTGATGCTATTTAAAAGTGTATTAAATAGCCTTGCCTGGAAAAGAACAGAAAAGAAACTTGAAAAAATCCTTCAGTTTAAGATTGTTTTATTCAAATTATGTATTATTTTTTTACTTATATTATTTACTAAAAGATTACATATGAGTATATGCGTGCATATGTGTATGGATATAAATATATTGATTAGGTAAAGAGATGGAAATTCTGGTAGATGGTAGATAATAGATTCAGTAGAGAGAGAGAGAAAAAGAGAGAGGAACAGACAGACAGACACCTTGGGCTATATATTGGGCTGGATTTGATGAAGAAAAGATTATTCAGCATGCATGTGGCTGAGCATGTCAGCACCTCTTTAAATCAGATATGAAACCAAGAAAAGATGCAGCTTCCTTAAGGCATTGCCAATGGATGCAACATGATCATTGCAGGCCTTTAATATATACCTGCAATTTGGATATCTATTGAATATGGCTTTTAAAGATATTTCTATTTTGTTAGTATACATATGCGCTAAAATACTAGCATATCTAAATTTAGATTATTTATTTGTATGTGTGTATATACACATTTACAAATATACAATATAATAGTGAACTGCTGGTCCCAAGCCCTGCTCCTCAACAAATGCTTATACTGCTGAAGTTCAAACAGTGTATCAGTAAGTGTCTATTCTGAAACCTAAATTTTTCTATTATTATGGTTATGTTATTGATGTTATATGCTTTGGCTTTATGTTATTTACTGTAAACTGCTCAGAGTCTTGGCAAATGAAGGAGTATATAAGCTGAAATAATTAATACATAAATACTACTGCCCTCCTATGGAGTAGAATATGCAGGCTGCCACAATGAAGTGGTGGTGGTGGGGTCAACCTATTTTCCAAAGCACCAAGAAGGCAAGACAAAAAGCAATGAATGGAAACTGAAAAAAAGAGAGAAGCAATGTAGAACTAAGGAGAAATTTCCTGACAGTAACAGCAGTCTATCAATGGAATAACTTGCCTTCAGAAATAGTGGGTGCTCCAATATTGGAGGCTTTTAAGAAGAGACTGTCTAAATTGGTATAGGACAGTGATGGCGAACTTTTTAGAGACCAAGTGCCCAAATGGCAATTCAAAACCCACTTATTTATCACTGGGTGCTGGGTGGACATGGCCCACTGGGTGGGTGTGGCTACCATGGTCACGGCAGACTGGGTGAGCGTGGCTAGGGTGGGCATGGCCACCTCAATGTTGCTCGTGGGAAAGGATGCCTGTGGGGGCAGAGCAGGGTTGGGGGAGAGCCAGGGCATTTCTGGTGGATGGGGTGGTGGGCAGGAGATTCATCCTATGGGGTGAGACGAGGAGAGGCAGGGAGGGGGTGCCAATTACTGTGGGGCAAGGCAATGTGAGGCAGGGGCCGGGGCACCTGCTGCCTGACACCATCAGCCTCCACACACAGAGGCCGATGAGAGCATGGTGGCCGACAGTGTCCATCAGCAGACATACCCTGCTGGCTGTCCTGCACATGGCAAACTGGGCATGGAGCCCCATCAGCGGGGGGAGACAGCCCCGGGATGGCTGGAAGGAAGCCCTTGCCCGGCCTTGGCCCCATCTGCTTCATGGCACTGATGAGGGCTGCTGCTGCTGCTGCTGCTGCTGCTGCTCCAACTGGCCAACCATGCAGGGAAGTAGGAGGAGGTGGAGGGGCAGCTAGGTGTCTGGAGACACCTCAGCTGCTTGATGAGGCAGCGGATCTCGCATATCGATCCCCCTCCACCTCCTCCTCTTCCCTGCATGGTTGGCCAGTTGGAGCAGTAGCAACAGCTGCCCCCGTCAGAGCTATTGAGCAGACAAGGCCCAGGCTGGGCAAGGGCTTCCTTCCGGCCTTCCCAGGGCCATCTCTGCCTGCGCCAGTGAGGCTCTGTAGCCAGTTCGCCATGATGCAGGACAGCTGGCAGACTGTGGCTACTGATGGACACCATTGCCCCCCATGCACTCACTGGTCACTGTGTGCGGGAGCCGATGGTGTCTGGCAGCAGATCTGGAAGCAAAGCTGTGCCACCCATCCTTGTGCTGGCGGGGGTGGCGGTAGCGGGGGAAGGTGGGATCTGGCGTGCACCCACTCTTCGCTGCTGCCACCCCACATCATCCCCCATGCGCCTTCGGGATGTGTGTGCAGAATGATGTGGGGTGGCAGCAGTGAGGGGTGGGCATGTACCACTGCTGGTCTTCCCCTGCTGCTGCCCTACCAGCGTGTGTATGGGCAGCACAGCTTCGCTTCCAGATCTGCTGCCAGCTGGGCCTGGCGATACAGGGATCATCACTGCCACCTCCTACCCAGCCCCCGTGTTGCCCAGGCACCCCTTCCCCATGAGGCTGGTCAGCGATATGCAAGATCACTGCCTCGTTGGGCTGCTGAGGCAGGGCTGGCTGCAGCCAGCAAGCAGCTGAGGTGGCTCCAGATACCTGGACACCCCTCCTCCTCCTCTGCTTCCCTGCCTGGTTGGCCAGTTGAGGGGCTCGGAGCAGCAGAAGCAGCAGCAGCCGCCTCCATCAGAGCCACCGTGTGAACAGGGCCTGTTCCAGGTGAGCGCTCCCTTCTGCAACCGGGAGCTCCTGCCCCCACCCCAGCTGACCCCCCCCCAAGTAACCCACCCTGACCAAGACAGAGGGAAGGCGAGGCAGAGAACTGGTTGTTAAATAATTTGAAACCCACCACTGGTCATTTCCAAAGGCCGCTCACTCACTCTCCTGACAAAACTTGCTCCTTTTATAGGTTCCCCTCTCCCGGCCCGGCTCTCACAGCTGTTCCTGGACTCTGCATGCATGGAGAGGGGGAGGGGAACAGCCCGGTCCTGCGTCCCTGTCTGGGGCAATGGCGCACGTACCCATAGAGAGGGCTCTGAATGCCACCTCTGGCACACGTGCCATAGGTTCGCCACCACTGGTATAGGATCACCTACTTGAGCAGAGGGTTGGATTAGAAGACCTCCAAAGTCCCTCCCAACTCTGTTATTTAGTTATTTTGAGCATTCCTCCACCCATTTTCTTTCCAATTCATTTTCCAGGAGTAATAGAGAGTTCTCTATTATCTTTGCTGGGTTTGGGATGATCTTTGCAAACATTTCAACATCTTATTTCCCCTCAGCTAAGTATCCTACCTCTTTTCCTCCTCCCCCTTTCTGTCTTTTTTCAGCATTGTGGGGAGTGTGACAAGTGCCCTTGTAAAGATGGGGACAGCAGTGACTACTGCATGAGCTGCAAGGTTGGTATTTCAGTTTCTCTGCCTCCGTCATTTCTTCTTTTTCTTCTCCTGCAAGGCTTAGTAGTCTGGCTTCATGAATGTTCAGTAATCTTATCATATCTGTTTTCTTCACGCAGAATTGTCATTTCTGCTACATTTGTCCTGTCTGCGAGACAGCCTGTGCACCAGGTGAGCAGTAGGTTATTTTTTTGTTTGTTTAATGGACAGGATGTCAAATCCAGTCAGGGAGTAAGGTAAACCTGAGTTCAAATCTTGACTGGTTCAGTTGAGCTGCCATCTCTCAAGTCATTAAGAAGAAACAGGAGGGAACACTTCCTACCCCAGACATCTCCGTAACTGAATTCACATATCACATTAAACCATACATTTTATTTTGCTTAGCATCTTGCTTGATTGCAGCCATTGTAGTTTCTAAATGATGGCTAATAGTTGTCTGTTATGCAAACTCATTCAGCTGTGGTTTTTTCAATGAACTACAGTAAATAAAACACAGTTTGGTGTGATGTATGAACCCAGCCTATGTATGCTTTTTGGAGACAAGATGATGCAAACTAACAATCAATCTCCTTATCTTCCTTGTTCTAAAAACATGAACCTCTCATTTGTTCTATTTTATGCAGGAAGTATCATAGATGAATTATCTGGAGCCTTATTTCAGTAAGTGAGAACCTTCCTCCTTCCTTAGTAGCACAAAGTCCTTTTCTCTCCTCAGATCTGATTTTGCAGTTTCTGTTTTGCTGATTTTTAACAAGCTTTCCATATCAACCTTGGCAACTTTAAGACTTGTGGACTTCAACTCCCAGAATTCCTCAGCCAGCTTTGCTGGCTGAGGAATTCTGGGAGTTGAAGTCCACAAGTCTTTTAGTTGCCAAGGTTGAGAACCCCTGATTTAGAACTTGGGTCAGCCATGAGTATGATAACTAATGTTCCTTTACCTAAGTGTTGCTCTGATGATTTCTAGGAGGAGGAACAGGAGGCAAATCATTGCTATATTATAATAAAATCACGTGAAATTATAGTAATAATGCAGTTGCCAAATTACTACCATCAAGAACAAAATAATCTTTTTTTCCCTTTTGCAGGACAATCGCTAACATATTTGAGCAGCAGGAACACTGAAGCGCCCTCTGCCGGATAAGCCAAAATTAGGAGAGATGATGACACTGATTTAGAGCCAAACTGTAAACAAGAGCAAATATGTGGCTGTTCTTTTCAGCACTGTTTTCCTCTTCCTCATCTTTGCAAAAAGCTTAAGGTTGCTTTTGTCTTTGAAGGAAAAAAGCAAAAAAAGGTGGTAGCAAAGCAACTTAAGATTTGATACCAAGTGAGCAAGAAAAGGAGAGCTGTAACAAACCATCTACATCATTCATTTGTTTGCTCCCAAAATCTACCTTTTGAAATTGCTTTTGATTAAAATAATAATAAAAAAAACCTCCTACTGTGATGAAGACTCATAGAACTGTTGTCTTGTTGAGCATTTGGGCTTTTATTTGGGCAGGGAAATTGTCCTATGCAAGACAGGGCATGTTAAGTGAGATGAAATTTTAAAAAAGACATTTCACCTTGAGTTAAGGAATACTTATTGTCTATTGTATTTCCTTAGCTATTAAATGTCTGAGAACCTCGTCATCCTTGCAGCTTACTCCTGAGCAATAGGTCAACTACTTGTGCTGTAGTCATTTCCCCTCACACATGACCTCCAGATTCGTTGTGGCAACTCCAATGTCAGCTACAAGAAGAATCAAACCTGCCATCTCTGGAAAGTACCAGATAGAGGAAGTTAGTCTTAGTAAATGAGCCAGAATAGGAGATGACCCATGCTAGTGTGAATTTGCAGCAATGTTTGTTCCTGAATTGTAACTAAGTTCAGTGAAAAATATCCTGTCAGACACTCTATGAAAATTGTATCTATTTGAATTGAATCTAAGTGTGTTCATTTTTACAGTACTTAGCATATCATTCTGCCAATCGGGTCCCCAGTGTCTCATCTGTGATAATTCTTTTGGCATAGGAACAGTTTCACTTGAAGCAGCCTTCATCAAAAATTATAGAACTACCTAAGCCAGCTTTCTACTCTGCACAACCATTTAAATATTTTATTTATTATTTATTATTTTACAACAGTTTCTTTGCTACCTATTAGCAATGATTCTAAGCAGCTTACCTAAAACCCACACCCTACTAATCTCTCCTTTCCCAACTCTTTCTGGTCTACCAGTTCTTTGGAAAACTACTATTTTCATGGCTTTCTAGAATAACAAAAGGCAAAACTGAAAACATAAAACTATATTGTACCAAGTATGATTTCTGTGCCTAAGAAACTCTGAACATTTGTAGTCTTTATGAAAATACCAAAGAATTTGACACAGACAGCCATTTCCTCATACAGCAGCTTTCATAACCTGAGATCTTCCCAACATACTGGCACTACGACATCATGTAGAGAAGGTTGTTATATATTAAGTCCTAGCACAATTTTTTTTCTGGAATGCCATCACAACTAAACTGGCTATAATGACTTTCAGGAGCTAGGTTTCTAGTGCCACCACTTTCAAGATACCAGGTGCATTTCTTCTTGTATAACTGTACAAAGAAAAGGCAGGAGTTGGAAAAGATGTTGCTATTTAAGCCACCATTAGTATTCTGTGCTTCAGGCAAAGTCATGCACAGTAAAAATGCTGACCCAGAAGTAACCTTTTTTTTTTGTAGGCATAGCCATAGGCTATATACCCTATTCTACAAATTTATTTTTTTAATTAAAGTATTGTATTCAGTCTTCTTAACTAAGTGCTAATAAGTTATTTTACAGCCATTTTATAAGCCATTTTTGCTTATATATTACTTAGCATCCCTCACTTGACAAGTAGTACAAATGATGTATTATCTTTTCTCTTACTGCATTATACCATTTTTCTGCACCTGATGCCTTTCTTTATTCAAAGGTAAAAGACCCACCTCTTTTATGTCTGGCCATTGCACTGAATCTCAGGAAGCCAAAATTGGATACCTTAAACCAGTGGTTCTCAACCTTTTTAATGCCGCGACCCCCAACCGGTTGTAAGTCGAGGACTACTCAACCAGTTGTAAGTCGAGGACTACTCAACTGGTGCAGCACCATTTGCAGAATGGGACTTTTGGCGGGCTCAGCAGGGCAGAGACAGCTGGACAATTCCAATTTGCTTTTGAAAGCCAATAGAATTAGACTCTATTCAAGAGAGTCTATTCTATTGGCTTTCCAAAGCCAATAGAATAAAAGGGAGTAGCACAGCTAAGGAAAAGGGGGGAAAAAATGGCGGACTGCATTATTTGGCGACCCACGTGAAATGGTCGTTCGACCCCAAATGGGTTCCCGACCCACAGGTTGAGAACCACTGCCTTAAACCAAATAGGGAACTCTAGCTGAAGATTGGATCCCATAGATTCAGAGTGAGGATAAATCTCAACTTGGCTGACGGTAATTAATGATTTGTCTCACTTGTTCAGATGTGAATTAAATTTTTGAACAAGAAACACAAGAAAGAGTTTGATCAGGGGGTATTGATAGAATCTACTACTTCAAGAAGTAAACAGTGTGAACAGAATCTGAAAATCAATGTACTAGGTAGATTCCAAGCTAAAATCTGAGCTTTCTTGTGACCTCAGATTTTGAGACTCACCTGCTTTGATTCAAATAAAAGTAATCTTCTCTCTCCACTCAAATGATGAATGCATTTCTCCAGACTTTTTAAACAATTTATAGCCTTCACTTTGTCTAGTTTTCATGAAGAATAAACTTTAAAATTTGCTTCTAAACTTGCTGTGTGTTTTCTCTAAAGCCTTCACTTTGATGAAGTAGTCTTAAAGGATTTGATCATCCTAGAAACTCAACACTTTAGGGAATTGGGCAAGTAAGGGGCATATTTTTTTTCCTCATTAATTGGAGGAAGCCTTTGGGATGCCATGAAGAATAGGGCAATGTCATGTTTCTGTGCCTTTCTTCCTTGATTAGCTCTTCCTTGGATCCTCTGTACTGCATAAGGAAAAGAAAAGCCACCCCTTATCCTTTAAAATGCTATTGGCAACTTTAAAATGAGTATTGACTATTAAGTGCATTCTTGGCTAAAATAAATCTGCTTCCAATGCAGGTTTCTACAGTTAGTACACTAATTTGACACTGGGTGAGGACTTCTATATCTAGGCAGATCCTGATAACCATTGGATGGCAGCAAATACTGCAGATTTCTTTTTGTAGCCTATGTCTAATATATCTACAACAGATTATGCTGCGGATGCTACCAAGCTACCAGAATACACAATCTGGGCACTAATGCAGATCTATGATCTGATGGGGGCAGATGCGGAGATACTAATAGGAAAGCTAACACAATGCCCATCCTTATTATGAAAGGAGAAATGTATTTATAGAAAGAGAATTATAGAGTTGTAAAGACCAAAGGGGGAACTGATTATGGGGAGGAAGGGGCTTAAACATATCAGTGTCCAATGATAATAGAACCCAACTCTGGACTTCCAGTGGATCTGCGCGCGCGATGACGGCTACTTTGCAGCCGTCCTCCTGGGAAAGTGTTAGAACCGCTATGAACAGCAGACATCAGCTGTTCGGCGGTTCAAAATCTTCCTCCCGGACAAAGGGAGGGAGAAGAGTATCATCTGAATAGTGGTAGAGCCTCTTATGCACCCCCAAGATTTTCTTTTGGGGGGTGAAAAGAGTGCTCCCATGGAGTTCAGATTGTCTCTGCTTCCCAGCTGTTTTTGTCTCTAGGGACAAAACAAGCCGCTGCAACCACCTCCTTGATTAAAGTGACCTGGTGAGTTTTTTTAAAAAAAGCGGACAGAGCTGAATAGAGGATTTTGTTTTTTCTGATCTTATTTTGGATTCTAAATTTAAAGACTTATTTTTATTTCCTCTTTTTGTTTTTTTCTTTTGTTGAAAGGGAAAGTAAAATGGCGATCGGCAAGTTTTTTGGTGTTTTTTTTTTAAATGATTGGAATGGAATGGAACGGATTTGATTATTTATAATGATTTTTTGGTGTTGGGTTTGGATTTTAGGAGGATTATTTTCCCTTTCTGTTTAACCTTTTTTTTATTTTTTGAAGGATTTTTTTTTGTTCTTTAAAAAAAAGAATGGATTGGATTTTTTCTATTTAATTATTCTTTTTCCTTTTCCTTCTTTTTCTTAACTTTTTTTTCTTATTATAATGATCTCCTTTTGAAGGAGTTTTTGATTTTTTGGAGTTAATCTCCCTTTTTGGAGTTAATCTCTCTTTTTTTCTGCTTAACTTTTCTTTCCCTCCCCCCCTTTTTTTGGGGGGGGGCAATTTTTAAGAAGGAGTAAAGATTTTTTAAGATGGCTCCAAAGCGTCCAGTAATTCCCACAGCTCCTAAGGTGGTTTCTTCTTCGGTGATATCATCAGTGCAACAATCTAAATTAACAGCTTCACCCTCTTCTTTGGCACAGTTATTAACGGTAAAGGATTTGCAAGACATAATGGGAAATGCTATATCTCAAATTAGGGGAGAAGTGAAAGAGATTTTAGTGGAAAATAATAGGATTCTGAGGCAAGATATAGTTTCGGCTTTAAAAGGAGTGCCTCTGTTCTTGAAAAGTTGAACTTTCGTGTAGAAGAGGTAGCAGAGAAAGTGGAGTTGTTGGAGGGAAAATTTGAAGGCATGGAAAAAGAGATGGAAAATTTTCAAGATGAGATTCTTATGCTTCAATATAGAGAAATGGAATATGCTTTAAGAATTAGAGGCTTGCGAGAGTCTTTGCAAGGAGATCTGAGAGAGATGGTTGCAAATGACTTTGCTGTGATTCTGGATAGAGAAAAAGAGGAAATATTTAGTGCAATTGAAAAAACATTTAGAGTTAACTCTGCGGTGGCAAAGCAAAGAAATCTGCCAAGAGATGTGGTCATTTATTTTGGAAAAAGATCCTTGCGCAATGAAATTATACAAGCTTTTTACAATAAGAGGTTTCAGATTGCTTCACAAGACGTTATAATTTTAAAGGGGATCCCATCTAAAATTTTAAGAAGAAGAAAGGAGTTTGCTTTTTTAGCAGATGAACTTAAAAAGAGGCAAATGTTGTTCAGATGGGATATCCCGACTGGAATGGTGAATTATCTGGGGACACGTTATAGACTTAATACTGTTTTCAAAGCAAAAGAGTTTTACACTTCGGTCCTGGGGGTATCGTTTCGGAAGAGAAGAAGGTAGAATTGCAGTCTGAAGAGCCTATATTGATGAAAATTGGGAAATTTCAGACTGAGGGGCCTCAACAAGTTGAGATGAAGGAGCAGAGGATAACTCGTGTATTACATAAACGCAAAGAAAAGGAGCAACAGAAGAAGGTTAAGGAAGCCTCACAAGTACTTGTTTCCGAGTCTGCGGGAGAAGCAAGACCTATAAACTTTTGGGAGCAATCTTTAAGGGCAGAATTCCAAGCACTTCTCTTGAGGTTTTTGGATAAGAGAGATTGATAAAGAATGTACAGATTGTTTTCAGGTTATTAGATTACAGTTCACTGTGGATGGAATTGGTTATTGGTAAAGAGGAGAGAAAGATTATGGAGATCGAATGAAAACTTTAGATAATAAGTTTAAGTTTAGTAATTTAAGGGGTATTCAAAAGAGTATCTTGTTTTAATGGTATAACTATTGTTTACATGTTTTTGTGTTTGATGATAAAGAAAGGGAGAGATTAGATTTTATATAATATAAGTATGATATTATGGAGATTGAATGAAAATTTTAGATAGGTAGCGTATGTTTAGATATCTAAGGAGCATTTAAAGGAATATTTTGTTTTAAATATGTATAAGGGAATCTCAATGTTACAAGTAATGTTTATATGTGTCTTTTTGAGGGTGCTTATAAAGAATGATGGATAAATTTTAAATAATGTAAGTACGACATTAGAAAACGTTCAGAGTATTTTATAATGTGTTTAATGATTGTAATCATAATTTTTTTTTTTTGCTTTTTATATATTGGTCTTAAAGTATTTTATAATTTGTTTAATTATTGTAATTAATTGTTTATGGCATACAGTGTTTAAAAATTTTTTTCTTTAAGTTGTAACTAAGCCTGTATTCAGCTCTGGGAAGGTTAGGGGAGAGTTGGGGTGGGTTGGGAGGGTTTGGGGAGGGGAATCTCTTTTTTTCTGTAAAATTTTAAAAAAATCTCAAAAAAAAAAAGAACCCAAATAGAACCTGTGTTTTCTTGGATATCTTCCCCCCCCCTCTAATATAAGAGGAAAGTAGCTGTCCCTGAAGAGGTGAAGAAAATAATGGGTTCAGTCTTTGATATCAAGAGAGACTGGGTAAAATCCAAAGCCTTTGGACAAAAGGCTTTTGACCTCTATGTATCCTGTTTTCAAAGAATTCAATGGACACACAAAGTATTAGCCAGCTGCCAGGAGGAAAAAAATAAAAACCCAAACCCAGTCTTTTTATTGTTCCAATTGTTAGTTTGGAGAGGTAGATTATTAATTAGGGCACTTCTAGATGGATGGCTCCTCCACAAGAAATCCAATGGTCTTGTGGAACCATGCATTCTGGCAAAAGGAAAAAATAAAACTGGGAGGTTTAGAAGTGTAAGAATAATCATCTGATCAACATATGAAGTTCATTAGCATTAGGTGATTGCTTAAGAAAGTCACAGATAATTGCTTAAGAAAAGGTTAGTCTGGAAAGACTCTAAGTTCCACATTCTGGGTGTTTCTGTGCTTACTTACCCACTGTTTAATGATTTCAGTTTAATAGACTGGTTTTAATGGACAAGGCCTGCTGAATGGGATATGCGATGCTGAAGCACCAGCTGAGGCAGGGAGGGAAAGGTTGTGGGAAAATCAGGTGAGCAGACAGAATGCATTGAGACATTAGTGTTAGCGGGTAGGAGAACAGATGAAAAATAAAAATAAAAAAGGGATGGGAATGTTAAAAGTGGAAGGATCAATTAGGGATGGGAGCTTTTGAAATATTCCCTGCTGAGTGCTGTTGACAGGAAAGAGGTGGGTAACACACACTCTTTTATTGCTACAAAATTCCTGTAGGTTTGGTTGGGTTGAGATGACAGGTAGCCCCAAGTCACCCAGTGAACTCCATTGCCAAGTAGGAACCTGATCCTTGGTGCTCCCAGTCCTTTGTACCAATGTTGAGATTACATCAGAGAAAGCACCATATTATCAGTAGAGTAGTGGCATGCCAGCTAGAAAGGCTAAAGCTAGCAAGATAAAACAAGATTCTAAAGACCAGAGCAGGATGTGGTTCAGGTGCCCTTCCATTCAAAGACCAAGAAATAAGGGGGAAGGAGTCTGTTACCAAATAAAAGTGGAAGAAAAAGACCTAAGATTTAAATTCTAGCACTATTATGTATGGCAGCCTGGATTGCTGGATCTGTGATAGCTGCTCCACATTATTAGGGTTTTCTACAATCTACAATAAAAGCAACATATGTACCTATAAGACTTATCCTTTCTACTGCTGTATTAGCTCCTAAATGCTGGTTGTATTGAAAGTAGTTTACAGTATTGCAGTGTCATAGGCAAGGCTCTGGGTGCAGGATCTGAAAACAAGCAGTGCTGGGCTGATTAAGGGAGCATTGCAATATCCCTCCAACCTCTGGTTCTGTTAGAAGAACGGTGGGCTCTTAAAGGCTAGAATAGAAGCAAAGAATGTCAGGAATTGCCTCACAGGAAGCAGAAAGAGATCCTTTTGTGAATTCTGTACCTTATTCATAAAGAAAAATCTGCAGATCCTAGAAAACGTTTTCAATTTTTTTTTCTTTTTTCTTTAAAAGACATTTCTTAGCTCACTCCCCTTGTGACCCTCCCTCTCTGCCTTCCCTGGAAGCAAACGGGAATGAAGGGGACCAGAAGATATTTCCTCCAGTACCTCAGCTTCCTGCTTACCCCTCACAATCTCCCTGACAGATTTGATTTCCAAGATTGTATTTTTTTTTCCTCCCCTACCCATTTTTTTTTCATGCAAAACTACCCCTTTGCTTTGCCCCTCATGTCCACACATTCTCCCTGGATGAAACAACTGAAATAAAAATATTTTAAAAAGGTGAAAATATATAAACATCAAATAAAAATTATTGGCGTGCAGGGCAGAGGGGGTAGCAGGACACATTATTAAATTAACAGAGAACCTGTAATGGCGGTCGAAAAAGAAATTCAATTTACACGAGATTCCACAGCACAGATATACACAGAAAATACAACTCTTATATTACAATAGTCTTGGAGGAAGAGAGATCTGTGTGCCATATCAATAAAGTCCAGAGTCCTATCTCCAGTGACCGTCACAGGCTGAGGTCTACTCTTTTAAGTCAGAGCATCTCGGACATGAATTCCTCACTTTCTGCTCTCAGAAAAAAAAAAGAAAAAAGAAAAAAATGTGATGCTCCATCCCACCATACAGACCACCTGTCTACTGGGACTGCTTCATGCCAGCACCAAGAGAGTTTGGATGAGCACTTCTAGTCCTCTTTCCTTCTTCCTCCTCCTCAGGCGTTCTCTGATCCAGAGGAACAGGGAGCTACAAAGGCAAGGGGAAGAGAAGAGAAAGAGGGAACTCTTTTATTTGTTGACTAGTGCTGAGAAGCAGTTACTTCCAGGTAGAACCTCTACACTCAGGCATCCAAATCTGAAGCTCTGTGAATCAGGCCTAGGGGCAACTTGCTCTTTGGGCTGGGCGTGAGTGGAGGGAGGTACGCTGGCTTTGTTCCTCCTGGCTTCAGTGCTCTCCCCTTGTTGAGAAGAGGGATGGGATGGGGCAGGAAAAAGAAACAAATAACTGGCCTTTGAGCAACTATCTCTTTTTTTTGTCATCAGGAGGTGAAATGGGACCCCTTCATAGCAGCAACTCAAAGAAAAGGAAAGGAAAAGTGCTGGCGGAACATTTAGCACCTATGGCAGGGCAGGGAAGGGGGACTGGCCAAGATGGGTTGCTTGGTCCAAAATGTGGCATATGGCAACAGGAAATAGAGGCACCCCCCTCACTTCTCCTCCCCCTGCTCCCACCAGAAAGATCTGGTGGCATAATATGGGATAGGATGCATGGGCAACCACATTTTCTCATTCACATTCTTAGGTCCCTGCCCGGAACAAACAACAACAATAAATAGAGGCCGAGATGGAAGGCCATTTCCCTCTGCTGCTCTGGGGAAGGAGCCCCTCCTTGGCTTGAGTCCCTTGAGTTCATCATTGGCCACTGCTGCTACTAGGAAGAAGGTAGTGTGGAGGAACATGGTTGGTTGGTTAGTTGGTTGGTCACTCATTCTCTTCAGCATCTCCCACAAGCTTCGATATTCCTTCTTGGCAACAGTGGCAGCAGCGGCGATGGTGCTAGCAGCAGCAGCAGCAACAGCAGCAGCAGCAGCAGCTCTTCATACCCTCATGTGAGCACATGATGGAGAAGGAGAGGCAGCAGCGGCGGCGGCAGCAGCAGAGGGTCTTCCTGCCCAAGGCAGGGAGGTCAGACTACTTGGGACAGCAGCTTGCAAGAAAAAGAAAAAGAAGATTTAGGGGGGGGGGGAAGCATCTCAGGACACTTTTAACAGTTCTGAAAAGATGTTTCTTTCATTTTTGATTCTGACTTTCCCCCATAGCACACATGTAGCTCTATACTAGTGTTTCTCAACCTCAACAGTTTTAAAGTATGTGATCCTCAGTGCCTAGAATTCCCTAGCCAGAATGCTGCACTAGGCAAGGAAACTAAGGCTAAGCCAAGGATAATCCTGAGATGTCCTGAGTTATGGTTGCATCGGCATTAGTCAGTGCCAAACCTATATTAGTCCTCTAAGTTAGATTTTAGTTGGGAAAACAAAACAAAAAATAAAAATAAATCCTAACCCATCCTCTGATTCATTTTGCAGAAAACTTCCCCCCCCCTTTATTTTCCAATTTATACTAGGGCATAACATAGCTGGCTGAATTATACTGTTACATTAATACATATAGGATGCTCAGCCTGCCTACTAAATTAATTCATTTTCTGTGTTTTCACCCAGAATGATCAACTACTAGCCAAACATATTGGGTTCATACAATGGTGTAAGTTACAGAAAAATACAAGACAATGATAATCAATGTTAGCCTGCTGTGCAATTGTGGCTACAGGTATTTAACTGACTTGATTGAGTTACTGTGTGAATACTGATGGTGTTACATGCTCATATCCTATGCATGAATGTTGATTTCAAAAAAATAAAACCACATTTAGACAATACCATTATGGGGACCAACCAAAATGCTCTAAAAGAGTTTGTAAGTTTTCAGTTTCTTAAGCAAAAAGATACGAAAAATACAGGACGGGGAAAAAACCAAAAAGTTAAGATTTTTTTTCAGCTACATACAACTGTTAATGAGAGTATTACTGATGTTAAAGTACCCCTATACTTCAGGGATAAAGTAAAATGGTTGCTACCGACAACTGTGAAAACACAGAGTCAATAAATACATATTCTGCCTGTTCCATAGGTGAAATTTACAGGCTTCTGGCCTGGCAGAAAACAGAAATAAAGAAACATTTACAATTTTTGTCAAGAAAGCCAAAAAATATTTTGGGATTGTTTGCTCTATGATTAAAAAAAAGTATTCGGTTTTAATCTGCAGCTTTTACTGCCTAGAATTGTATGCTTGTTTGTCATGATCATTATAAATGATGTTGAGAGACAGATAAATTGATCTGTTTGTTTAGAGAAAAAAAATCTACATTTATTGATGATTGGAGGCCACCTATGGACTTTCCCCCCATAAAATGAAAAAAATATGTGATTTATGATTTTGATGATTAGATAGGATATATTATAGAAAGAAGAGTAATATGATGTAACTTAGGGAGGTTAAAATATATTTGCACTTCTAACTGCTGTGAAGAATATCAGAAGACACTTTGTTATATCATTTTTCTTTCTGTTCTATTTTTCAATTTTTTACCTTGTACTTTTTGCTTCTTTAATTTCTTTCCTTTTTCCTTACTTCACATTAATTTGTGTTAGTTTTATCTTTTTGTTTAAAAGTTTTAATAAAAATTATATACAAAAAATGGTGTTCTGAGACAATGCAATCTACTCTTTCCAATAGTAACAAGGACTCTCAGTGCTAAGATCCAAAATCAAGAATCCCAAGCTCCTACCCAGCAGCTGGACTGAATCATTGAATTATCATAATCCATAACTACAAGACTGTGTATGCTACTATTCTCTTACTCATGACTGGATGAGGCTGGAAGATGGCAATGAGAACCTGAAGACTGGGAAGCGAATAATTTACAAAACTATTAGAATAGTAAATGAAAGAATTAGTTGATTCCTATTTGCTGATTCCTCATTGAAAAGGCCGCTGCTAACCAACAGCAATAGTATTAGAAGATAGCAGCACCTAATTAACTTTGGTAGAGCTTTAAAAAGCTAAGAAGAGTCAGACCTGATTAATAATTGGATGAAGGAAATCAGAAAATCCCAGAGATATAGATTAGATCACAGACTTTAAAAATCCCAGAATACAGCAACAACGAACATGACCAGATTGATGTCAAGAAAGCAACATATATATCGGTATGTTCATATAGTCATCAAAAGTGGGCTAGATCCAATGGATTATTCTCTAATTTAAATGTGGATTGTTCCCATTAGAAAAGAGCAATTTTTTTTTCATTTTGAGGCTGTATCCTTTATCTGAAAAGCTGACTCATTATATTGAGATATAACAGAATCCCAATAATAATGATACATGTCAGTTAGGGTATAGCCTACCTGCTCCATCTTGGCATTAACAGGAATATGTTCTCACTGACATACTGTCTGTCCGTTGGCTACCTAATGAGTTCCCTGAGGAGAAAAGAAAGAGAGGAAGGCATTCATAAATATATCCACCAGAGCTTTGAAAAATACCTCTTGATTGGCCAAAGATGTCCTGAACTGTTAATGCCTTGGCCCATGTATTAGCCAAAGGAAGAGCTTCTATAGATAATATGCACCCTCACACCTTGTGGTCTTTAGCCTGGCCATTATTGTTGACAATCCTTTCTCATTGTTCTGTATTAGGAAATACATGAATATGAAATATAAAAGCTAACACTGCTTTTTAAACATTGGCTCCTCTCTGTAAACTTAAGGGGGAAAAGCAGCTCCACTCATTTGGTGTCATTGTTCAAGCAATTGGGATTGGTAGGCTCTCCAGGAAGATGAACTGCTTCTTTCAACAATTAAAAGGTTGTTTGTCTTATCCTAAACTGTTTTATGCTACAAGAGTCCCACAATGGGTTCTTGCCAAAGAAAGTGGTCTCAACAGTATAATGCAGTCCAGATAACAAATGCCTTTTTCACAAGTACATAAAACAAAATTTAAGAACCTGCAGTCTTTCAGATTGTTACTGAATCAGAATTCCCAACAATGGCTGTGCTAGTGAAGGCTGCTGTGTGTAGTAGTACAGAGAACCACAAATTTCCCATCCCAAGATTAATTTGCTAATGAGAAAGAAATATATGTAATTGAGCAGTCTTTTTCTGACTACAGCAAGAGTTCTTTATGAATGGAAATTGAAACTGAGAGATACATCAACTCCTACAAAACAGGAATGGATGGAAAAAAATGATCGAGCTGGCAGAGATGACAAAACTGAGTGTTTTAATTAGAGAAAAGAATATATTCAATCTTGTTTCTACCAGGAAACTGCTTCTGGATCTTGTGGTTGAAATAAACAAAATAAAATCTTCACTTTGAGTTTTGCTGATTAAACTGTTATTATAGAAAAGTTTACTTCTTGTTACATTATTAAATTAAAAAGTTGAGGTTTTTCTTTTCCTTTTCCTATCTTCTCACTCTCCATTTTCCTATTACTTTTATTTTCATTTGTATTTTATAATCTCAATTAAAAAGGAGTAAGTTCCAGAAAAAGAGAACATTCTATTCCTTATTAGCTTGGGGATTGGAGAGTGGGAAAAAATTAGCATACTTTTCTGACAGCAGGAAGCTTCTAGTTTTAAGTTTTATACTTTTTTTGTTATTTTTGTTTAAGCACCTTCACCAGATGGCAGCACTTAACTGTCATTGTCTGGACTTGAAAGCTAAGCAAGACCAGGCCACTTGAATATTTGGAGGGATGACTTCCAGAGAATCCCAGAGCTGTAAGCTAGGTTGAAAAGTTGAAAAAAAAATTCTTGGGAGAAAAAGAAAACAAACCATTTCTATATGGTTATTAGGTAAAATCATATAAATGTGTCCACCAGGAACCAAATCTGACTTTAAGACTTTATGTTTGTATTGGATAAGTTGCCTAAAGAATATTTTGATTAATAACTGGAAATTAAAGAAACATGATTCCCCCCACTGTGTGCTCCAGTTCAGAATGCAGGCATAGATAGCTTAAGAGTTGTGCCTTTTATACCCTCTGGCTGCATCTTACGAAGTTGCACCCCGGGTGAGGTAATGGAGGCCACGGAGGCTGTGCGGAAATTGGCTGGCAACATCTCAGCTGAGTCAGGGCTGACACCACGGAGGTCTTTCTCCCGGAACATCTTCCGCCAAGATGGGGAACGACTGAAGGTCTTGGCACTGTCCTAGAGACAAAAGTGCAACAAATATGGACACAGCAAAGCGTGAGGATGTCTCTCAAGCTTAGAGACTCTGGTGAAAGGAGAACTCACCTCATCTAGTCGTCGGTCTGTTCCCATGGTGATGAGGTTCCCAAATTCTTTTTCTAAGATCTGCCGAGCCTAGGGTTTTTTTAAATGTAGATTATTTTAGTCTTCCTTTCCATTCCTTTGTTGTCTTGTAAAGCAGTGTTCCCCCTGGCCCTCCACTTTTTTCCTTTCTCCAAAAATATTAAGGAATGGAGAAAAAGGGCCTTGGGGTCTAATTGCTAGGACAGTGCGATGCAACTTAGGAATATGCATTGGAAACATGGTACCCATAGTTCCCAGGCACTTCCAATTAAATAAAATTCAAGACAATTGAATAATGAACAAAAGCTGCAAACATGTATATGCTCCCCCCAACTGACCAATCATATACATCTGATAAGATGTCAATCAAGAATTCAGAAAGACAAATTGGGGGGATTTTGAGTTTATGACTGAGGTCAAAGAGGCCTACTTCTCATCCTAAAAGCATTTAAACCTAGAAGGTTATGGCTACACTGACAAAGGCTCTAGATTCCCTTTTTCTTCTCATGGAAGCACATAGCTCATGACTGCTCGATTCTTTTCCCACCGCTATCCAGCTTCCCTATGTTTACTCCTGACCTGTGTGTTTTGCATTGGTATCTGCAGCAGCAGGGCCAAGTCATTGCAATCAAAGGTGTCGTCCAGGGCCAGGAGGGCTCCATGCACCCCGCTTTCAACTAGATTGTTGGCAAACTCTTTCAGTCCAATCATTTGTACCCAGCACATCACACGCTCATTGGACCACACCATCACATCTAGAAAAGGATGGGGAGGGGAAGGGAAGAGACAAGCTTAGCACCAAATTCAATTCTATGATCACCCACTCTAGCTATTTAATTGCCATTCTTTATTTACTTTCCCCAATTCAGATTTGTAGATTCTGCTCAATGGCAACCTTTGGTCTTATCTTTTCTCATCTATATCTACCTTTGTTTTGGTTCTGACTCTCCTCTCGTCTTCTTTCCAGTTCCTTTCGGTCATAGTTAAGACGTTTCAGGCACATGATTCCATAATGAAGGCTCACCCTTAGAAGATATATCAGAAATTACACCAGAGAAATGGCAAATGTCTCACTCTGGATCATCTATTAAGTTCGTAAGTACTGGCGGAGCTGGTAACTGCAACAGCAGTACTAATTAGTGCTGGGTAGCTTGGTTATGGAGTTGGAGTTCCCATTAAATTTCCTAAAAAGAGGCATCGACTTGTTGGGGGAAGGGAATCAAATGATGAAACGTGTGTTGCAACATTGCGATGCAAACTCTACCCCTTCTGTACATGCACCGTGATATTGCACACATGTATATAAGAGGTGGAGCTTGCATTGCAATGCCACTCTGCACATTTTGACGAAAACTCCACATTCAGCAGACACTTCTGTGAGCACTGGGTAGAAATCGAAATTCTTTCCCTCAAGTTCCAGCATTGATTGGAAGTCCAGCAGAGCAAGACTTTGGGACAAAATCCAGGCCTTCACTGAACAGAAAGATCACAAAATAGAGCAAGTTGACATACCATATTCTGAAGCCAGCAATTATATATATAAATATATATGTATATGTATGTGTATGCATATGTATGTATGTATGTGTGTATATGTGTGTGTGTGTGTGTGTGTGTGTGTGTGTGTGTGTGTGTGTGTGTATGCATGCATCTAAAGAAAGTTCCCAGTAAGATCATTATATGCACTGTCTACGGTACATTTCTTCACTGAACCATTGAGAATGATGTTGCTAAAAAAAACCAGGATTGCAGCAGATGCCCAACAGGATGATGATGCTGGATCCACCTTAAGTAACCAAAGGTGTCCTGGTAAATTTTCAGTTCACATGTTGTTCATACTGAACTTTTCCTTGAGAATTTCAGTTCTAAGTGTTCTGTTTTATGGCTAAGAAGAGCAGCTGATATTCAAGGCAACTTCTTCCAGCCTTAAGCTTAATATCCACATGAAACTGCAGTTCTAGAATCTTTTGTAAGTGGATGAACATTAATAAATGTTACATTTGGTTGAAACTACATACTTTGCACACATATATATATGCCTCACAAACTTAGTGCTGTAAGTATGTCAGTAACATGAATCTATTCCTCCACATGGAAGGCTCAAGCCATTTGCTCTTCTCACCTATGGAAACTGTCCACCATCTTGAGTTGGCCCCGTAGTTCCTTCTTGTTGAGATGGTCCAACATCCGGGCATCAACTAGAGACTCCATGAAGTAACTGCGGTACTGAGGCAAGCCCAGGCTGGGCAGCCAATCATTTCCCACCCACTCATGGTTCATATCTCCATATGCCAGGATCTGAAAAAGCAGAAAAGGGAGACTCTGAAGGACTATATTTGTATAATGAATTTAATCCAGTCACTGAATTAGCCTATTTTGGGGATTCACAATATGTAAACCATCAAGGAAAGGCCAAAGTGTACACTAACCAAGCTTAGTGTGCTATTTAAATGCATCTGACTTAGTTAAGCATCTTTGCTTAACAAAACATCTGAGTGAGAAAATATTTCTTTTCTTTCATATACTAAAGACCTGCACTGTAGTTTTTCCATTTTCTTGTTCCTGCAATATTTGAGCATCTGTTATAAATCCACATCCATTAATTTGCAATCTTTGCTTCAGATAATTTCAGTAACTAACCTGGCCTCTCTACTTAGCCTAAATATCTTTCTGAAACTTGGGGAAAGTCAATGTCTCATAGGACTGGAGAAGACTTTAGAGTTGGTGTATGTTTATGGCTCTCTTCCTTTACTGTGTGAACGCGCCTATGTTTTCTATCTTGCTGTAGACACTTTCGCATTAAGGCAGCCTTTTCATGATATACCACACGACAATTATTTCTCCCAGCCATGGTTCTTGGAAATAAGGAAGTGTAATCTAATATATTTGGAGGGCACCAAACTGGAAAGACTGTTCCAAGGTTTCTGTTATTAGAAGTTGTCCATCATAGAATCTTTCCTTGATGGCATTCCAAATGCAATATATCTCCCAAAAACATTTTTTTCATGTTGATTCTTTTTGTATACCAGATACTGAATTAAAATTATTCCATTTCATTAAAACAACAATTTAGCTGTTAGCTGTTGCCTGATAAATGCTTCTTTTAAAATATATTTGGGGAATTGGAAGATTTTTGAATTCTGTACCCTTTACTGTGGATATCAGAAATCCTAAAATGTTGCTGCTGTCTGCTATCCAGATGGTATTGACGGAAATGGACTGTAGATCTGACTCAGCAGCTGGCTTCAGATATTGTGCTCTATCAAATGTTGCTTGATTTTGTGCCATGTGAATCCAGTCATTGGGGCTTGGAAATTACCCTAGTTTAATACATTGATAAAATTCAGGCATTGTTGTTTATACAACAAATCATGTTTAAAATATGTTTTACTACTATGTAAAAATCCCAACAGTGAGTCACACAACAGCAGTGTAAAAAAAAATGTTGTGGGGTTTGTTGAACAAAGCAGAAATCTTAAATAAAAGCAGAAAAAAGTAGCCCAGTTGAGAAAATAATTTTCCAGACAGGATCCAGTATTGAATATTTTTTTTAATCTGGGAACTGATGTGAAATTCCTTTTTCACGAAACTCTGACATTTATTCTTAGTCTGAAATCTTACTGTTGGAAGCAATTACTTCTAGATGGCTGTGAAGGCTGTAATGACAGAAGCATAGAGGTAAGAGACCAGTGAATCCAGCCTTTGCTCAGAACAGGAATACAAGCTAAAAGCATCACCAAAAAGTGTCTTGCCTAGCCTGTGCATATACTATCTAGGGAAGGGAAATCATCAGATCCCTAAATAATTGGCTCCATTGTTGAACTGCTTTTCTTACTTGGACCTTTTTCCTACATTCAAACAGATCTCCCTCCTTCTAATTTAAAACCACTATTCTGTATCTTCACACAACAGAGAATAGAATTTAGCCATCTTCTATATAACAGTCCTTTAGCTACTTGAAGGATGTTATTATATTTCTTTAATATCTCTTAACAAGATTTAATTTCCAGGTTTTTGATTGCTTATCTTCACTTCACTTCTCTGAATCAGTTCCAGTTTGTGCAAAATCTTCTTAAATTATAGATATTCAAAACTTGAGGTATAGTCAGTGAAGAATATTTTTTTTTCCCAACTGCCACTGAGAGGTTTCAAGACATTCTTTTCCTTTTCATTTATTTCCAAAACAAGAGAACTTTTTCTAGTTAATATATGCAGTTATCCTCAGACAAGATTCTTCCTCACCTAATTATAGTTGGCCATCAAGAAACTCAGAAGATATAGCAGTTGATAGATTATCATAATATGTGAAAGCAGGACAAAAAAATGGAGGGAATCAGGAAAAACCATATAATTGTTTTTCTTTTCCAAGCATTGCTATAATCTCTGATTACCGTAATGAAATATCAGATGTGCCTGAGTGAATAATTCTATTTAAATAAATATTTATATAGATCTTCCTGAAACAACAATACAAAAATATATCTATTAGAGCTAAAAGGAGAATTCTACAGAAATTAGGTTATGCATTTCAGCACTTATTTAGGACCAATTTGTAAAAAGCATGTTTTTGATACATCTATTTTCTCTTCATTTTTATTCATTTAGCTATATATAACATTCTGATTATATTATCCATTCACTTAATGAAGTGCAAGTGCTTTTAACATCAGCCCTGCTTTTTACCATAAAAGGAAATAAATACATAGAGACACATGCAAATTAAGAGAGTCAGCATGTGAATCCCGCCCATACCTGCTCCCAGCTGATTTCCTTTGTTTCCTGTATAGTGATTAAATGGAAAGCAGGAAGGAAAGTAGAAAGGAATCATTAAGGAAATCTTTAGTGTACTTTATTCACAAACACACATTACAGTAGCTCAAAGTTAATGGACATGTCTCCATTGTGGTAAGCAATTTCCAGTTGATCTTAAATAAATCTACACATGCAATAAAAAGAGATGCGTGTGGGGTATGAATCCCATTAACATTAACCAATGGATCCAACTGTGGTCATGCAAAAAAAAGAGAGAGAGTGTGTGTTAAGGAGAAATCTAGCATCACAGGGAGAGAATTGAGCTACAGTGTTTCTTCCTACTCTTTTCCAATAAAAAAAGCTTCCTTCAATGTGAACCAGAATAATCTTCTCCACTGATTCATTTTGCCACATCTGGAGCTCTGGTCTCCAAACAGGAGCATTTGCAGTATCCCCAAGGAAATTAGGATTAAAGGAACCAATCACAAGAGTTCAGGAAAGAGTGACTGCTCTGCTCTGCTCTAAAAATTACTTACATTACCATTCTTATTTTCAGGTAATAGACTAAGCATATCATTTCAAATGGTTTTACTCAATGATAGTTTTTTTTTTTTAATTTGGCAACCATGCAGATCCCACAGTCCCACTGCTGTTTTTAAGGAATTCCCATGGGGACACAGAATGATAGGTTAGCTCAGTGTTTCTCAACCTCAGCAACTTTTAGATCTGTGAACTTCAATTCCCAGAATTCCCCAGCAGCATGAAGTTGAAGTTCACAGATCTTCAAGTTGCTGAGGTTGAGAAACACTGGATTAATTCAAGATGGGGTACTAGTCAGAAAAGTCTGGCCTACTTGGATTATTACTAGTCCTTCCAAATATAAAAGGAAACTAGAATGCTTTCACCAAGTGTTATCCCTAAGCATGGATTTCCTGCAAATCACTAACAGGAAGAAAACTGTCAACTTGGGTAGGAAAGCTACTGATGAGTCCAAAGATAGTGCCATCTAATCTTCTAATCATGCATACATACAGAATCACACACAGAAAACTGCAATACAAGATCCTGGAAACAGCCACAACATGGAGCCCAACAGGGAAGGCAGCTGATTTGAGGGACAGCATCCATAGCAGTAACACTTACTGGCTTTGTTGTGGCTGTAAGAGATTCCATCTCTTCATGTGTCATCCACACATTTCCAGTAGACTAGCAAGAATAGTAGAGAGGAAAAAAAGAGGAGAGGAAGGAGGCAGTTGTGAATTTTAACAAGTAGAGAAAACAGAAAACTGTCAGCTTCCCTGCTAGTCAAGATAAGGCCCAGAAAAGGGAAGTGTATAAAGAATTCATCACTTACTGTACGCGAAGTAGCAGGGGCTGAGGGACTGGTCAAGGAAACCATCTCTTGAATGGCAAGGCGCAACTTAAGCCGGTGCAAAGGATTACTGATGCCAATTTCTCGCTGGATTTCTGTATCAGACAAGTTGGCCATAATGGCACCACTTTTGACGTTGGCACGGCAGGCAGCCACATACCAGGCTGGCATGCCCACCCACAGCTGCCAGAGTAAATGGGAAGAAAAGTTAAGTAGATGCTTATGCAGCTCCGAAGGAAATCAATCCCTAACCCATGGATCTCATTTGGCCCTGGTGGAATTTCCCATGAAATTATTGTTGGTTCTTGGATGAGCAAATGTTACCCTTTAATCCACTGTCAACAGGTGGGATTTAATGTTCACTGCTTGTGCTGGGGTGGGGTTCACAGCTCCATGTTCCATGCAATCTTTAATCATGGTGAGATATTACATGTAATAAAGAAACAAACTCTTTCTATGAAACTTGTGGCTGCTTCAAAAAGTATTTGAAATAACTGCAGCAACAAAAAGTCTCTGTTCTATTAAAAAAATCATTAACTTTTTTAGGCTCAAGTGGAAGCATGAAAAAATACAGACTGCTTTAATGAATAGAAAGAAGAGGAAGGCAGAATTCCAAATACCCATTCATTGAATTTCAATCCAATCCAGCTCTGTGCATGCCTTTATTCCTTGTTATTTTACTAACAGTGAAAGATGCTATGTTGACACAAGGTGCAGTTTTACATTTTTTACAATAAAAATTGCTGATTCATCATGATGTTAAAACAAATTCTTAAATATTTTTTTATGGAAAGCACAATTGGTCTTATATGGTTTCTGCCAGGGGAAGGAGCTAAACAGATCACAGATCCATCCTCCATTATTCACTGAAATATCTCATATAAACTGGGGCGGGGGGGGGGTCTAATGGCTTCCTTTCCTATTAAACCAAAACTAAAGGTTGATCTTGGTTTTGAATCCTTGGCTTATTTAGGACAGTGGGATCAGGGAGCCTCATATGTATATCACAAACCACAAAAGGAGTTTCTTTAATTTGCTCATGATACAGACTTAGTGTGATTGTGACACTAGTAACCATCTTCCCAGAACCTCACTTTTCATCCACATTGATTACCTCCAGCCATGAGACAACAGTAGGTCCATCCCAGGCAGCAAAAGGCAACCCTTGTCGACAAGCTTCTTCCAACAGCTCATGCCTGGGCACAGAAAATACAGAAACAGAGAGAATGATGAGAAAAGAAATAACTTCTGAAAATCCCAAGATTGTTTTTCCTTCTGATCCTTAGTTTTCCTTTGCCTGCCCTTGCAATCTTCAACATTTAAGAAGAGAGTACATCTCGATATGGAATGAAGAGACAAAAAGACTCTATCAGACTTTCCTACAGAGCAGCAATCTGGAGATCACCATGATCTCTTTCACAGCTTGAATGCAACTCAATGTAAGATGTGGGAATAATACACAAAATCACTAAATTTCAGCAAATCCAGCAGGAAAGCTGGGAGCTTGTTAAGGAAACTGGGTGAAGCTAGACAACCTGCACGACAAATATCCAAATTAATTCCTGATCTAATAGCCTCTCAAATCGAGCTCACAAGGATGAAAGGACACCCTGCTTTCAGCCAGAAAGCGCTTTCAGCTTTTCAGCAGTTGGGCCAAATGCATTCTAAGTACTATTGCCCCTTCTCTATAAAAGAAATTGACCCTGCCATTAATAGCCTGAAACATGGTAAAGTCCCAGGCTTCGATGGCATTCATCCAGAATTCCTAATAACACCAGGAGGCACACACAGAATTGGATTGGTAAATTCCTCTCAGATGTAGTTTTCAATGGCAGCCTCCCAGCAGAATTTTAAAAAACTAAAATAATATCACTTCTAAAACATGGTAAACCACAAGACTGAGTTGAAAGTTCCTGCTCAATTGTCCTTTTGATCTCCTGCTACAAACTCTGGGAAAGATGAATTATAAACAGGATAGTCCTATAACAGATAAACATCTGCCCATAGAACAAGCTGGCTTCCTACAAAACCAGAGTTATGTGGATCAGGTGCTAAGCCTAATATGCTATACTGAAATAGGGCTCCAATGAGATCTAAAAACCATGGGCATCTTCATAGACCTAACTACAGCATGCAATCCAGATTGGAAGGATGGGTTATTATACAAACTGTGCCGTATTCTGCCCTGCAAAAGTCACATGCTTAGTGATAGGTCCTTTCAGATAATAATGGGGGACAATATTAGTAAAGTAAGATTAAACAATGGTCTCCCACAAGGCTCTGTAGTGGCACCAATTCAACTTCTATATATATCAGATATGCCAGAGACAAAGGGATGCAAATTTGGATATGCTGATTATTTGGCCATCGCAGTACAAGAAAAACACATGGAGCTGGCAGAAAACCTCTGTCCAAAGATCTTAAGATTTTTGGAAAATTATTCTGACTAGAGGCTCACTCCTAGCACTACAGTAACAATGTCCTTCCACCTTAACAAACCAGCATATGAAGCCCCTATAGCCCCAAACCAAAGGCTCTTGGAATAACATTGGACTGGACTCTCTCCTATAAAGTACATCTAGAGAATATGGTAGAAAAAAAAATCAATACTAGGAACAGTATATTTCAGAAATTATGTGGAACTAAATGGGGAGCTTCAGCTGCCATCACCCTCAGGTCATTAGCAGTAGAACTGGTCTGCTCCAAAGAAGAATATTGTGCTCCTGTATAGCTTAACAGCTGCCATACAGCTGCAGATGTATTAAAGCCACTCTGACTTGTTGGCTTCCTGTTTTGAGCCATATTGCACTACCAGCTGTACGAAGCCAAGGTGAACTAGTGAGAGAATACAGAAAAATTATGAACAACTCACTCCTACCGGTGCATGCTGACCTTCCTCATTTATCAGCAGGAAGACTTAAATCAAGGAAGCCCCCACCGGCACTTGCACAACATCTACTCAACAAATTTAATACCGATTACCAATGGAAAGCCAAATGGGTTCCTGAACATCCAAACATAGGAAGATATATAAATGACTCTACAAAAAGATGCCAGGCTTTGAATTACCACGTCAGCAATGGACAATCCTGAGTAGGATTCGTACCTCACATGGCATCTGCCAGGACTTGCTGTATAAATGGGGGCATAGCATCCTTCCCTCGATGTGATTGCAGGGTCCCACATCAAAATGTAGATCATACTGTGAACAGCTATAATGCTGAGGGCATATATTACTCCAGTATATGATTTTTTTCATATAAGCAATGCTGCACTTCAATAGTTAGATCACCTAAACATTGGTATTTGGATATAATCTTTTTAACATTTATATTTTATTGTGATTTATTAATCTAGGTGAAATGTTAATATATATTGCAAGACTATGTATGAGATACCATGTGCTAAATAAATGAATGCCTGCATAACGACCAATTTAACATTCAGTATTATAATTCTACAGATAGTTATTCCCATTTTGCAAACACAAGTGTGGGGCTGGTCAAAGTGAAGTACTACTTCCTCCAGCCACCACCTAGTGACTTCACAAGCCAAGCTGGATTTGTGCAGGTGCAAATCTATGTAATCTCTATCGGTCCTCCTTTTCATCCCCATTCTTACTTCTTTTTGTTCCTACGATCCTTGTCCACAGGTCCAGAGAGTTTGGAAAGGCCCAGGGGGTCTGCAGGTGACATCTCATCAGATGGTGTCCCAGCTGTCAAGAAAGATGGACAATTAAACAGGGACAAAAGAAACACATCATGGCCTCCATTAACTGTCTTTAGTTTCAAGAGGGAATTCCTATACAGATACTTCTCTCCATGTGGTGAAAATCACAGACTGGAAATAGCAGAGAAGAATCTTTGGGCCGCATCCATGTTGCTCATTCCAATAAGGTCAGCACAGCCAAAAGTTAAAAGGAGCCGAGGGCAGGGTTCTCAAGAAAGGCAAGAGGGTTTCCCCCCCCCCCACCCAATTGTTACAGAGTGTGTTTGGCAAGAGACAGAAAAGCCAAATTTTGAGTAGTCTTTCTGAACTTGAAGTGCTCCAGATGTGCTGGATTACAATTCCAAACAGAGGCTTTGGTCACAAGGATATAGATATAGAATTACATTTACAGGAAAGGACTGGGGCTTGTTCTAGGAGAAAAAAGATCAATCTGAGTCTGTGGGTGGGGAAAGCATACCAAGTGAGGGGGACTCACGGCCCAACTGCCCCAGCCTCCCTTTCTCTTTCTTGCCGAAGAGACGCCCGATGGAAGATTTGATGCTTTTTTTCTTGGTGGACTTGTGTAGAGAATCCTGACTGCTATTCGTGCCATCTGTCCCCAGACTGTGACAAAGGAAAGAATCAGAGTTAGAAATACTATTTGGATAGTGTAAGAAAAAGGACAGCAATAAGTTGTCTGAATATTAAAACTGGATTGGGTTGGTTTAAGATACTAATCTAAGACAAAATAGTTAGGTTAGTGTGTTTGGAGACCCAACTAAGATCTAAACATATAAGGCAGGGGTGTCAAACTGCTGGCCCGCGGGCCGGTTTCATCATACCAGAGCCGCGCCCACCCCATTGCCAGCAATGGCAAAAAGGCTCCGATACGTTGTGCGACGTCACGTGACGTCGTGAGTTTGACATGTCTGATATAAGGTGACATCATAACCATGTTTATTTATTTGGGAATAGTATGGTATATAAACTAAAATCTGCACATAAGTGTCTTGAGTGAACTCAGACCTTAAAGTTCTGCTTTGTCTTTGTACCACACAATCTTTTACTCAAACCTGCACTTTTTAGTCTCTTTTTCTCTAGCAACTAATTCTTTCTTCAAAACAGATCTCTTCCTGAAGCTTTCAGCACAATTTCAGCCATACAACTGTGTCGGAAACAGTTGGGTAGAACCTAGTATTAGAACTTAGGGAGGCCTGTAGTAGGTCAGTCAAGGATTTTCAATACCAAACATTTAAAAAAAATAAAAACTAAAACAATCTGTTTTAAAAGCCCCAAACTAGGTAGCTGAAACCCAGAAAAATAAATACATAGTAATTCAAGTATGAATGTATGTTCATTCATTCCTTCATTCATTTAATGTATAGTTTTTATAGGTTCAATTCAAAGGTTCTGTGCAGAATTCAATGGAATTTAAGTAGGCAGTGGAAAAACCAGAAATAGATTTTCATGTGGAATGTTGCCTTGCCTGCCTGCCTACCTACTTTGTAAGGAGCCTGCTTGCTTTGCCTGTTTTGTGAGGAGAGCTTTTCCTGGGTCTCCCGGAGTCTAGGATCTGTCACAGAGCACTGCTGATCAAGATGCCTGGAAGAACTAAGAATCAAACTGGCAGTAAACTGTGATTTACCAAGCCAACAAGCCCTATCCATAAGATGTCAGGAGGAATAAAGCTGCTTGAAAACAGCTGAGCAGCAGCGTCAGCAACAATGATTGATTAGGTGCCAGTGGAATAGGGGAATAACTGTCTGTCTGTCCTGGGGTTTGAGACCCCTGACGAGACACTAGGAAATGCCAAGAAACATCGGAGCCACTGGGAATATCTGAGTGGTGGTAGAGGCAATCAGCTGGGTGGCAGCATAGCAGGGAAACAACTTGACAGTCTGAAGCCCAAGATCAGCCTGGGGAAACAAACTGAATTACTGACCAGCCAGAGAAAGATCTAGATAACTGTCTGACCCCTGGAAGAATTGATCAGACAGATGAACAGCAGCTAGGGAGTTGAGTGACTTGGCATAGCTAAGCAAGGAGCAAAGCTGATGGTGGATGGCCTGCAGATCAGCTGAGTAGCCTGCTGAAGAAGAGGTGAGGGTCAGCTTAAAGAGCAGTAAAGCGGTCAGCCTGAAAAACAGCTAAGAGGCTGGTTCCAAGAGCAACTGGGGCCCAAGGGACAGTGAGGCTAGGGGCCCAAGGAACAATCAAGCAGCCAGACACATGGTAGGAAACTCACCTTCATTTTGGTTGAGCGTTGCAATTCTAATAAAGCAACAGTTTTGAGGCCTAGAAGTTAGACTTTGACACTTTGTTCTAATATAATTAAGCCCAACTAGGTACAATTATAATAAATCCACCTGTCCAGGTTGTGGAACTCAGCTGTGCACCTTTTTGAGGCAGGATACCTAACTATCTGGCCTGTTCATTCCTTTCTGGCACATCCTTAAAACATAAAATGTCAGCCCCTGCACTTCATGCTCTACCTCATTTCTCACATTCCTCCCCGCAAGACCCACTAGGGTTTTGCAATTACCTGGTTCTCAGGTCCCTGCCATCTTCCAGTGCTCCAGCCTGTAGAGCTAATGCTTGAGTCATACGCTCAAGACGCATTGTACGGGGGGTTGCGGGTGTTGGGGGCTCACATAACGCTAAGGCCTTCTCCTCAGAGCTTCGCATCTCTTCCTTGGCAACATGGTTCTGCCGGGAGGAGAAAATGGTACAAAAAACAATCCATTTGTCACTGTTGTCAGGTGGGGAGGAAGATGCTGCTCTCTGGGAGCTTCTCAAGTTGCACAGGAATGAAGGTCACAAACTCATTAGGGATCTAATTGTGAAATATAGTATCTCATTTTTAAATCTCCTTGTAAATTGTGGCAACACTGCAGATGATACTGATTCCTTGTTTAACAATCTCAACAAGAATTTGACAGTATTGCTCTAAAATTGGCTACTGCTGAAGCTTATGAGAAAATCAGGATTTGCAGCCAGAAGACCTAAAAATTAATTCTGTAATTAGATCATTTTATAGACTGAGCATGTATTGAGGGTACATCTTGTACAAAACCCTTACTAATTTAAGAAGCATAAATTTAGTCAACCCTGGACTACATTCGATCTAAAAGTAATTTAGTTCAACTAACTATTCATAAATTAGATTCTTTTATACACCTCTCTTTGATGTCCTTCAGATTATTGCAACATGATAATAAGCTCTAAGCACACATGCACAACAAGTAATTAAACAATTAAAGAAAGATTTTGTTTTCAACAAGTGACATTTGCCCACAAAAAGAGAAAGCTGAGCAAAGCAAGCCAAGGGCCTATCTACTGTTTCTAATAATGGCCACTTTAGAGGTCAGGTAAACTTTTTAAAATTGCCTTCAAATCCAATATTTGGAACCTTGAAAACTGGGATTTATTCCCTAACACTTATAGCTAAATTATAAGATGGGGAAAGATCTCTGTACTCTTGAAGAACTGGGACTGCACTGCACAATCCCAAATGGAGAACCTGTGACCTGGAGATATGGAGTCCTTGAAAAATAAAATATGTGCATTCTGGAAGTAGATAGAGTCCTGGCCAATCTTCTACTGGATAGTTGGTGAACAAGGTCAAGGAGCCACCAGAAGTAAACTGGCATTTTCTTTTATTATTGATAAATATATTGGCTCCATCAGAAGATAATCAATCAACTGCTGGGGAATAGATCACTACATTCTTGCTCCTACATATCTGCAGTAGGTTGGGAAGAGGAAGAGGGATGTGAAGTGGGTAAAATATTTGGAATGTGAACAAAAGAAAGGATGTGCATGTACATATACATGCATTATGACTCCCTTCTCCCTTGTTCTCCGCAACAAGAACCCCGTGAGATTGAGAAACAATGACTTGGGACTCCATACCTGAAAATGGAACCTGAGTTTTTATAGTCCTAGTTGAACATCCTAACCCAATACAGTACACCCTTTGGTGATTAACATCAATATTTCTGCAATGAAACAACTGTTTAGAATGCAGCTACATGCAGTCTCCTGCCCAGACGAATTTACAATGTACCATTTTTTCTCCATCACGAGCAGGACTGTGGGGTGCCAAGCGAGGTGTAGAATGCCCACTGCTGGGGGGAGAAGGGCTGGCAAGAGTTGAACTGGTGACAGAGGGAGGAATGGAAGTGCCTGAACGGTAGCGCCCCAAGGATCCATCCAGACTGGCACTGGTTACTCGGCTCTCAATCTCCTCTGCTCGCTGTTCGGTAGATTCTTTCTCTTCTTGGATCAGTCTTATATAGCCAGCAAAGAAAAAATATGATAAGTTGTGGATGATCAGGGTAATGTGTTTTACCTTCTTTTCTACAAATTACACTTGCAGTATAATCTACAAGCAATGTGTGAAATTAAATGGAAGTATTGTGCTTCATTTAGACTATGAATGTATTCCATAATCCACTGGTTATTTGCCTTTGTGATGTAGAGCAATATGTAAAATAATTGTAAATAATAGGAAGACATCTTAAAATTGCTCAAGTTGAGAAACAATTCCGTATCCTATATATGTAAGCAATATTGCTTTTGATATTCCTCTAGCACCATCAATAAAGAGACCCTTTCTTTGGATGCAATGTAAGGTGCTGACTATCATATCACCTAAGGAAAATAGATCATTTAAAAGAAAACAGTTGGTCTGATCAGGGACTAAATCAGAACTCTCTTGACATGGTTCTCATGTAAAGATTTTCTACGCTTGGGGCATATGCTGAAAACACAGGGCATTGTACTTAGGGAAAGCCGTAAAATTACTAAATAGTTTCAAGAGAAAATGTAAGGCACAAAGAAATCTGGGTCAAGCAAGGAGTAGAGAGCTATAATTCAGGAACAGGTATCTGCTCTATGTCTGGCTAGGACAACTCACTTGATCTCTTTGTTAATGGCTTCCAGCTGCTCTTGTAGCATGATGGCCAAGGTCTGTACATCAGCCTGTCCGCTGGGAGACAGCAGATCAGCTGAGCTGAAGAGAGGATCATGTTCGTCCTCATCCGAACCATCAAGCCCACCCTCAAAGGAACCTCCAGCTGCTTGCTGAGCCCTCTCCCACTCCTGAATTAGGGAAAAAACACCTGTCAAGAAAGAAAAAAAAGATAGTAAGGGAAAGTCTAATGTGTGCCCACCCTTCACCAGAGGTGGCATTCAGAGCCCTCTCTGTGGGCATGCACACTGTTGTTCCAGACAGAGGGACGCAGGGCCGGGCTGTTCCCCTTCCCCTCTCCATGCATGTGGAGTCCAGGAACAGCTGCGAGTGCCGGGCGGGGAGAGGGGAACCTATAAAAGGAGCAGGTTTTATCGGGAGAGTGAGTGAGTGGCCATTCAAAGTGACTTATGGTGAGTTTCAAATTATTTAACAACCGGTTCTCTGCCTTGCCTTCCCTCTGTCTTGGTTGGGTGGGCTGCTCAGGGGGGTTGGCTGGGATGGGGGCAGGAGCTCCCGGTTGTGGAATTGCTGGAGGCCCCAGCTAGGGGGACAGGAGGGTATGGTTGGGGTTGGTTGTAGGAGTCTCGGACTGGGGTGAGTACAGGAGGGTGGGGGAGGTCATCAGGTCCCGGCTGGGGGAAGGCTAGGGGGTCTGGCTAAGGGGTCTGGCAGACCGGGACAACTTCGTGGAGGAAAGTCACTCCCCCTTGCCAGCTGAGCCTCTCATCCACACTGCAGTCATGTAGGATTGCATAGGAGGGGCACTGGGCAGGGGGTTGGGGTCAGTGAGCAGGGGGGAATCAGAACCGCCACCATTTCCCTTCCACAGTGCAGCCCCATAGGCGTGGGTGGAAATGACCCCGGGACGGCCGGAAGGGAGCCCTCACCTGGTATGGGCCCTGTCCACACAGCAGCTCTGATGGGAGTGGTGGCTGCTGCTGCTCCTGCTGCTCCAAGCCCCTCGACCAGCCAACCATGCAGGGAAGCAGGAGGAGGAGGAGAGACCTCCGGGTGTCTGGAGCCACCTTGGCTGCTCGCTGGCTGCAGCTGGCCCCGCCTCAGCAGCCCAACAAGGCAGCAGATCTTGCACACTGGCTGCCTAGTCTCGTGGGGCAGCGGCACTCTGGCAGGAGGCGGCTGTGATGATCCCTGCATTGCCATGCCTGGCTGGCAGCGAAGCTGTATTGCCCATCCTTGGGCTAGTGGGGGCAGTGGCAGGGGAAGATGAACTGTGGCATACACCCACCCCTCACCGCAGCCACCCCACATCATCCCACATGCACGTCCCGGAGGCACATGTGGGACGATGTGGGGTGGCAGCAGTGAAGGGTGGGCACACACCAGATCCCATCTTTCTCCGCTGCCGCTCCCACCACACAAGGATGGGTGGCACAGCTTTGCTTCTGGATCTGCTGCCTGACAACATCATCCCCCTTACACAAAGACCAGCAAGTGCATGGGGGCTGACGGTGTCTGTCAGTAGCCACAGTCTACCGGCTGTCCTGCATCATGACGAACTGGCTATGGAGCCCCATCAGCATGGGCGGAGACGGGCACGGGACGGCCAGAAGGAAGCCCTTGCCTGGCCTGGGCCCTATCCACTCGATGGCTCTGACGGGGGCAGTTGCTGCTGCTCCGACTGACCAACCATGCATGGAAGCTGAGGAGGTGGAGGGGGGCCGGTGTGCAAGATCCATTGCCTCATCAGGCTGCTCAGGGAGGCCAGCTGCAGCCAGCGAGCAGCTGAGATGGCTCCAGATCCCAAGCTGCTCCTCCACCTCCTCCTGCTTCCCTGCATGGTTGGCCGGTCGGAGCAGCAGCAGTAGCAGCCCCATCAGAGTCATTGAGTGGACGGGGCCCAGGCCGGGCAAGGGCTTCCTTCTGGCCATCCTGGGGCCATCTCCGCCCATGCCAATGGGACTCCGTGGCCAATTTGCCATGATGCAGGACAGTTGGCAGGCTGTAGCTGCTGATAGACACTGTCAGCCCCCATGCGCTCACTGGCCTGTGTGTGTGGGGGCTGATGGTGTCAGGCAGCAGCTGCCCCAGCCCCTGCCTCGCTTTGCCCTGTGGTAATTTGCACCCCCACCCTGCCTCGCCTCACCTCACCCCACAGGACGAGCCTCCTGCCCACCTCCCTATCCACCAGAGACGCCCTGGATCGCCCTCAACCCTGCCCTGCCTCCACAGACATCCCTTCCCATGAGCAACATCAAGGTGGCCACGCCCACCCCAGCCACACCCACTCAGTCTGCTGTGATCACTGCAGCCACACCCACCCAGTGGGCCACACCCACCCAGCACCCAGTGATAAATAAGTGGGTTTTGGGTTGCAGTTTGGGCACTCAGTCTCTAAATGTTTCGCCATCACTGGTCTAATCCCACCTTTCTTGGTTAGTTAATAGAAGCAGGAATCAAAAAGAATACCCACAAGAACCAGGATGTTCATTGAATCTTAAAATGGCACTGAAGTCTCCCATCCCAAAACTGAAAACCATACTTCATGAGATTACAATTGTACAATTCCACTCTAAACTGCTTTTAGAACATGATCTTGAACCATGACATGTTATTCCATCTTGTGTACTGCAGGAATACAGAGGAATGATTTTGATCTTACTTATTACACATTTTTATGGACTTGAAAAATGCTATCATAGTCCTGCATGCCATCTTCTCTCATTCCCTTATTTCTCTATAAAGTTCTCTGAATCTTTCTTAAAATTTGGTGACCAGAACCTCAGGCAGTATTTGAGATTGGATTTGACTGATACAGATTGTGATAGGACTATTGGTACCTCTGATTTAAAATGTAAACTCTACTAATGCACCTAAAATTGCAATTATCTTTTTTTGGCAGTTGTGTCACACTGCTGACTCACATTCAACTTGTGATCACTTATAACTCTAAGAAAGTCTTAATTTGTACATTTCATTCCTATTTCTATCTCCTATGCATTTAGTTGCTTTTTCCCAAAGGGCAGAACTTTGAATTTGTCTCTCTTCTCCTCTCTTTCCCTCTCTCCCAGTGGTGGGATTCAAATATGTACACAACCGGTTCTCTGTGTGGATGCTGCTTCCAGAAGTCCATTCTGGGCCTGGGCAACAAAAAATTAGCCACTGGTTCTACTGAAGTGTGCAAACTGGCTGAATCCCACCACTGCTCTCTCCCCGCCTCTCTCTCCCCACCTCTATTTTTTATTTTATTTTTCAGTCCACCTTTTTCATATACAATTGTGAATGCAGCTTCTGTTTTCTAATCTATACCCTATTTTATCCCTTTTTGTGTCATCTGCTAATTACGATGTATGATTCCAGTATAAGAGCTTATAAAATTCACATGAGCTTAGACATTTTGGAAAAAATCTCAGAAGGACAGTATCTGATGCTTGAAAAGATTGACAATTCCTACTATACAGATATGAAAAATACCAGTAAGGGCCACCAAGCTTTAGTAGCTAGCAACATGCCCATAAGAGACATTATTACCCTCTTCCCAATTGCCAGTATTTTTTTGCTACCCATTCTTCTGAAGTGACATCAGAAGATACTTACCAGGTATTTGTCCAATGGCAGATGGAGTACAAGGAAAAAAAGAAAGAGAAACAAAACAACAATGAGTACAACATGGAAATAGAAAACAAAAGATTACAATTATTCCTATGCTCTATGCACACTGTCCTGTAAAAGCAACAACTACATAATTAGACTTGGTACTATCTTCTCTAGCCGTCCTACCCATTCAATGAAGTCAATATCATTTCCTTTGGAATCTATGTCTACTTATAAATAATGTCTATCACTGAACCATGGAAAGTTCAGTAATTCCATAGCATTCTTTCTTAATTTCTCTGTTTTACCAGCTTTAATTATTCCTTTTTCAATTTAGTATATTTTCCTAACATCATCAGTGCCCCATAAATCAGCTGTATTGGCAATAGTATTCTCTACTTAGACTAGCAAAAATGAAACCCCAAATCAATATCCTATACATATATGAAGGGTTTGACATTCTACAGGAAAATATAAAATGTTTGTGTAATTATGGGTTATGAGAAATTGGATACCCATATATATTTCAATTTAATTATACTCCATATGGAAAAAATAATTCCAGAGTATGATATGCAACACAACAATACAGCTAATATCCCCAAATGTGCAATAGACTATCTGATTGATTCCTAGCTGGAAAGAGCATGTGGGAACCCCCAAATACATTTTTACCTCCATGATGGAACAAAAGCTATATTCAATGTTCCAAAAGTATAAAGAATCCTTATGGGTCTAAAATGCAGAAAAGATATGCAGATTCCTGAGATGCCTGCAATAAAAAGCCTTTCATATTCTTCATTCAGCATCTTCCCATATTCTATTGTGGTGAGTGTTCTTGATCTAGACATTAGTTGTACAAATCTCAGTGAAATCAATGACAAATTAATTATCTCTCAACTCCCATTGATTTCAATGGGTATTAAATGCAACTGACAAAACAAAGATGAGAAAGAAAGGTTGAGGCAGATTTAATTTCCAGCCTTGCTGACCCATTGCTTTCATTATTCCAATGCTATAAAGGTTTTATTGCAAAATATCTAAAGCACACTTGTTGGGGATATCTGTTTTAGAGTTATAAACTGGCAGAAGGCAATGGGGAGTGTTTGCTAAAAAAGTTGGATTGCTAAGAATTCAGAATGATTGTGGCCAAGAATTCTAGGGAAGAGAGTTGTTGAAATATTCTAGAAGGAACTGCAATAAAAGATGTTCTCTGACATATGGGTTCTTCTGCAGTATGAACCACAATTGTCAGCTGTGGTTTTCCAGATCAACAGGAAGGTGATGATCTGGTGAATCTTCTAGAACCTAAAACGTTTCATTTGCAGCTTATGTATTTTCAGGGATGGCACAGAAATATTTCTTGCAAAGCACCTTTAGGTTACAGGCCAAATAATATGCCTCTCCTCAGTCCCCACTTTGAATGGATAATGAATATACCATGGTATAGTAGTAGTAGTAGTAGTAGTAGCAGTAGCAGTAGCAGTAGTAGTAGTAGTAATAATAATAATAATAATAATAATAATAATAATAATAATAATAATAATAATAATAAAAAGTTGGAAAGGACCTTGGAAATCATCTAGTCCAACCCCCTGCTCAGGCAGGAAACCCTATGCCATTTCAGCCAAATGGTTGTCTAGTCTCTTCTTAAAAACTTCCAGTGTTGGAGAATTCACCGCTTCTGGAGGCAGGTTGTTCCATTGATTAATTATTCTAACTGTCAGAAAGTTTCTCCTTAGTTCTAGGTTGCTCCTTGATTAATTTCCATCAGGTACTTCTTGTCCTGCCTTTAGGTGCTTTGGAGAATAGCTTGACTCCCTCTTCTTTGAGATATTGGAACACTGCTATCATGTCCCCCCCTCGTCCTTCTCTTCATTAAACTAGACATACCCAATTCCAGCAACCGTTCCTTATATGCTTTAGCCTCCAGTCCCCTAATCATCTTTGTTGCTCTTCTCTGTACTCTTTCTAGAGTCTCAGCATCTTTTTTACATCGTGGTGACCAAAACTGGATGCAGTATTTCAAGTGTGGCCTTACCAAGGCATTGTAAAGTGGTATTAATACTTCACGTGATCTTGATTCTATCCCTCTGTTAATGCAGCCTAGCACTGTGTTGGCCTTTTTGGCAGCTGCAGCACACTGCTGGCTCATATTTAAGTGATTGTCCACTAGGACTCCGGGATCCCTTTCACAGTTACTACTATTGAGCAAGGTACCCCCCCCTATACTATACCTGTACATTTGGTTTTTCTTGCCTAAATGTAGAACCTTACCTTTTTCACCACTGAATTTCATTTTGTTAGAGAGTGCACAGTTTTCAAGTCTGTCCAGATCCTCTTGTATCTTAAGCTTTTCTTCTGTTGGCTATTCCTGCCAGCTTGGTGTCGTCTGCAAATATGATGAGTTCCCCATCTATCCTCTCATCCAAATCATTGATGAAGATGTTGAAGAGTACTGGGCCTAGAACAGAACCCTGTAGCACCCCACTACACACTTCCCTCCATGTAGATGCAGTTCCATTGAGGACCAGGTGCTGAGTATGGCCGGTCAACCAGCTATGAATCCATCTGATGGTGATGCTGTCTAACCCACATTTTTCTATCTTATGAAGTAGTAGGTTGTGGTCTACTTTATTAAATGCCTTACTGAAGTCCAAGTAAATTATATCCACAACATTCCTCTGGTCCACTAATTTTGTTACTTGATCAAAGAACGCAATAAGGTTTGTCTGGCATGATCTGTTTTTGACAAACCCATGTTGGTTTTTAGTAATGACTTTGTTTGCCTTTATGTGTTTGCTGATTCATTGTTTATCTTTTCCAGAATCTTCCCAGGCATTGAGGTCAGACTGATAGGTTTGTAATTTCCTGGATCCATTTTTTTCCTTTTTTTGAAGATGGGAACTACATCAGCTCTTTTCCAGTTCTCTGGTAGTTCCCCAGTGCTCCAGAATCTTTGAAAAATATAGTTCAGTGGTTCTGAGGTCACATCTGCCAGTTCCTTGAGAACCTTGGGGTATAATCCATCTGGTCCTAGTGATTTGAATTCATTTAGACTGGACAGGTGCTCACTTACCATTTTCTTGCCTATCTTAACTTGTGTTTCTATTCTGTTTTTTATGGCATTATTTTTGATAGGTTGGGCTGTTTTTTCCCTTTGGGTAAAGATACATGCAAAAAAACGAGTTAAACAGTTCTGCTTTCTCCCTGTTACTTCTCACCTTCTTGCCACTTTCCCCCACTAATGGACCAATCATTCTCTTCACTTTTTTCTTGTTTTTTACATGTTAAAAGAAGCTTTTTTTGTTATTTTTGACTTTGATCGCAACCTTAGTTCATTTTGAGCCTTAGCTTTCCTCACTTCACCTTTGCAGGCTCGGGCTATTTGCTGATATTCTGTGCCCTTCTTTCCACTGTGGCTTCAACATCTTCTATCATTTCATCTCTCTTAGTGAGAATTAGATCCAAAATGGCTAATCCTCTAGTTCCCTTCTCTATTTTTGGGGAGACAAAGTTGTCTGCTAGGTTTGTCAGGAATCTGTTTGATCTTCCACTTGGTGCAGAGTTTGTCTCCCAGTTGATGTCAGGGTAATTAAAGTCCTCCATTACTATTGTGATGTGCTTCCTGCATACCTTAGTTAGCTGAATAGCAAAAAGTTCATCTATTTCCTCTGTTTGGTTGGGTGGCCTATAGTATACACCTATGGCAATGTCGTTTCCCCCCCCCTTTATATTGACCCAAATGCATTCAAGACAGTTTTCATCATTGTTGTGCTCTATTCTGTAGAGATGTAGTTATTTCTTATATAGAGAGCAACTCCACCTCCTCTTTTATTTGGTCTGTTTCTTTTAAATAATATAAATCCCTCTAGCTGTGTCTTCCATTTGTGGGTTTCATCCCACCATGTTTCATATCTATCCTCATTAACCTGAATTTCTAGTTCACCCTGTTTACTGTTCATACTCTGTGCATTGGTGTATAGACATTTATGACTGACCCTGTGTTTACTTTCTACATAACCTGTGTGGTGCCTGAGTTCCCCTATTTTCTTACCACCTGTTTGGTTAGTGCACTTTGTGTGGCACTCATTATTAAAAGCTTGATTTTGCTTAACAGCAAGGTTGATATTCTTGTCCACACACACATCTATGTTACATGCACTGATAGCCCTATAATTTTTAGATTGCCGGGGACAGGGATGTTCTGTATCAATTAACTCACTGTTCCTGTTGTTTAGTTTAAATATTCCTTCAGAAAATCTGTGAATTTATTGCCGAGTAACTCAGTCCCTTTCTTTGATGGATGCAAACCATTTCTTTTGTACATTTTTTCATTGGACTAACTACAGACATCGTGACTAATATAACCAAAAGCCTTCCCCTTTACACCACTCCTTTAGCCACATATTGAATTCTACTATAAGCTGGCCTTTTCCATTTTGCTCCTTATATACTGGTAAAACCTCTGAAAAAGTAAGCCTACAGCCTATCCTGCTAAGCACCTGCCCCAAGCTCTGGAAATTATTTTGCACAGAGAGTACATCTTTTTGGGAAAGATTGTTAGTGCCAAGATGTACAATAGCCTCCACATCACAGTCCTTGCTGGCATTCTTGACTATTTTAAAAATACGCTTCTTGTCCTTACTGGCAGTAGCACCTAGAAGACACCTGAGCTATTTGAAGCCTCTGTGTCCTTTCCTAAATTTACATCCCTTATAATTGAATCACCAATCAGAAAGGTAGCTTCTCTTTTAGGATGCCTTTCTGTTCTTGCATGACTGATGTGTAATACCTGATTCGCATTCTCCCTGTCAAAAACAAGTTCTTCATCTCGGACCACAATCCCCTGCTTATTTGAGTTATCATCATAAATATCTTTACCTGTCTCCTTAATGTCCCTATTAAGGTCAGCAAGGGCACTGTATCTGTTGTGCAGGGTCGCAGCGAAAGCTTTATGTTTACGGTTCACAGCTCTCGCCCTGCCAGATCCCACGGTTCTCCACACTGCCCTTCTCCTGCAGGATCTTTGTGGTAGAAGGGGCTGATAGCGTGGAGGCTCAATAGAGTAGAAGGACTGAACTGGACACCTAATTTCTGCCTGAAGAGCACAGATTACAGACTCTAGATAAACAATCTGTCCTTGTAGACTAGTGATTTGTTTATAGATAGGATAGTTTCCAAGTTTGAAAAGAGTACTGTGAAAGACAGCTGCAAAATAATTGTTGCACTGAACTAAGCCAGACATTCTGAGATACAAGGAATCTCAGATGCACTTGCCCTGAATGTACCACTACTCTTTTTTATTTTTAATTATATGATTCACGCACCATTAGGTGCGCGGGCCGCTACTTTCCTCCACCCTCCTCCTTTTTAACTCTTCCCAGCAAGCTCTGGGCAGTTTAAATGTAATGGAGGTCCAATCTGCAGGGCCTCAGCTACTTTCCTCCTCCACCCTCTTCCTTTTTAACTCACAGATTGTAGCCTTACAAGTCTTACATAAGACAATTACTTCATTAATTAGAAGCTTTGATATGAGATATAATGAGCCTAATTTCTACTTGCTTCAGTGTACAGAATAGCTAACATTCATATTCAGATAAATCATGGGACAAAGCTTATTTGAGAGTACAAATAAGCTTTAGTGAAAACTTTAATAACAAGGATCCAGGAATGTAAAGTAACAAAATAATATATACTATTATGTATTAGCAAATCTCTAAATATAGGTACTCTTCGACTTATAACAATTCATTTAGTAACCATTCGAAGTTGCAACAGCACTGAAAAATGACTCATGAACATTTTTTCTCATGGTCATGTGATCAAAATTCAGATGCTTGGCAACTGACTCATATTTATGATGGTTGCAGTGTCCTGGATCATGTGATCACCTTTTGTGACCTTCTGACAAGCAAAATCAATGGGGAAGCTAGATTTACTTAACAACCATGTTACTAACCTAACAAATGCAAAGAAAGATTCACTTAACAACTGTGGAGTAAAAGTCATAAAATGGGGAAAAATTCATTTAACTGTCTTACTTAGCAACAAAAATTTTGGGCTCAATTGTAGTCATAAGTTGAGCACTACCATATAAAGTTAACCAAATAAGTTGGACAAGTAGTCTCAAATTTTCTGGCAAATTCAGTGGCTGGAAATTTACATAAAATAATATCTTCACATTTGGAGGAATTCAGGTGAGGGAAAGCTGTTCTGACCAAGCATCTAACATCTCACTAATACCATTTAAAAACTTCCCAATGACCCCCTTCATTTTGGTTTGGGTTTTTTTTTTTTTCATAAACTTATCAATCAATCCATACCTTGGTAGCCTCATCCTTGACAGTCCAGTGACCCTTCTTTGAACGTCTTGCCACACCACCACTGCTGTAACGGTCCACGTGGGCCCCTACCGGCAGCATAGGTGCTTGGAAGTAACGCAATTCCAGCACGCTACCTGGCAGAGACCTCCGTGGAACAGGGAAAAAGAACTGTGAGCAAGAATAATTGAACAGAAAGAAGAAAAGATCTATTCCATTCAAGTTTAAGAGCTCCCCTTTTAACCAAAACATCAGCCCTTTTTTTATGCATGGTCAAGAAAGATTCTTCCCATCCTTCAAGAAGTCTTGTAATCATGGCATAAAAGATCATCAAAATATGGGTGTGAGAGCAAGTTTAAAGTATGCCTACAAAAGGCATGTTCTACATATAGAACACTTTTCCTACCTTTAACTAAAAATAATAATAAAATAATTGGCTAGATTTCAAATACTGAAGATTAGTTTAGAATAGAGTGAGAATTAGTGGTTCAACATGTTGTGGGAAACCAGCAATTATCTAACAGGGTTTGAAAATCTGGATATTGTGAAGGAGCACTACTTGGTTTCTGAAAGCATGAAGTCTCCCTACCGAGAATAGGTAGAAACTGGGCGTCCACGTAATTGGTCTATCTCCATTTGCATTCTCTCAATCTCAGCCAATAGCTGCTCCTGCAGGACGTAGTCAAAGGAGGGGATCAGTTCTGGAAAGCAACCTAGCTGACCTTCCATCATACTCTTTAAATGATTTTATAAACTTTCCTCATTCTTATCCTTAACCCAATCCCATACTTTCTCAAATTCAACGTGTTTCTCTCCAGTTCTGGACTTAAGAGATTCCCAGCACATGTATACATAAAACTCAATTCTTAGTTGCCATTTGCCTCACCTTGTTTGCTAGTAGTTCATCCTGTACTTTCTTCATGTTGGCAATTTCCTCACTTAGAGTATTCTTAAGGGGGATAAAATGAGAGAAGCAGAAAAATGTAATCAGAGTAAACACATAATAAATTTCTGACATGGAATGTAATATACCTTCGTCTCTACAGAGGCTATATCTTTCCTTTGTTCATCAACAGAGAATCAACTTGTATTAGAGCAGACTATGAAATGAAGGATAATTTCAGATGTTTTTCTATTTGAGCATTTGCTTTATGAACATACCTGCTTCTTCTTCTGTCACAAACACCCACCCACCAATCAAATCACCTATGATTAAGACTTTCAACTGACAGTCAGAACTCTGCTGGCTGTGGAATTCTAGGAGTTGATGTCCACATGCCTTAAAATTGTCAAGTTTGGGAAACACTGCTCTAGGGAGTCTCAGTTGCTGGCTTTCGAAACTTTAGACTTCTGGGGCTCCTTTTATTCAAGAACTTGGATGGTCAGTTTCTTTAACAACTAGAATAATGGCTATCATCTTTAAGATTAAACAAAACAAAAACCATCCACAATGGCCACTATGAGATTTTGTTTTGTTTTTTGCAGCAGTTACTATGCTTTTACCCATAATACCTAAGATCCAAAATATCCAGTACATTTTATTTTAGAAAAACAAAGATTATGGTTACTATTTTATTTTTCAAGGTATGATATTCCTGAATTCTATGAGTTCCTCCAGTTGGATTCTCACTCAGCTATCTACAGATACATGACAGCTGATTCCCACACCACAAACCTAATTCATGCCTACAGAAACACGTACCTTTTCCTCCAGTGCCCCCATTCTTTCTTTCAAATGCAACTGGAGACGTTCATTGGATTCAGATAGCAGCTTATCTACTGTTTCTGAGAGGCGCTTGTTATGTTCATCATTCATTTTCTCCCTTTGGCGTGCCTATTTTGCCAAAAGAGAGAACAAAAGTAAAAGGATTATCTGTAGGTCATTCCTCCATTCTACTATCTTACCTTCTTGTCTGTAATCAATGACTCCAGTTTCATCACACCTAGGATTTCTCTTTTCCATATACATTTCAGTTAGTGTATTTTTAATACTTTCCATGCACATGAAATAGGAGATCAGAAGCTGTCTTGTGCCAGAAAGACCAGTGGTCCATCTAGCATATTACTGTCAATACTGACTGAGAACAATTCTTCAGGATTTGTAGTAATCTCCATTGTTTTCTGACAGACATAAGATCAAATTGGAACATTTTTCATGCATGGCATTTGCATGTGCATAGAACTATAGCTGATTAGCAATGGTCTGGCACTTCCAGTACCCATCTAATTTTGCACTAGTTTTTCACTCATGCCCTCACCCTCTGGAGCTCCTGATTCTTCTCTTCCAATTGGGCTTCAAGTTGACGCAAACGCTCTTCAAAATTGCCATGCCTCTCCTCTGCCTAGATAAAGAAGTGAATGAGAGAATTAAGCCATGTTTTGTTTCTCTTAGAACTCAAAATCCTCCTGTTTCTCCAATTTCCCCTTGTCCTCCAACACCAGCAATCAGTATTCCATTGCCCATTCCCTCCCTCTGTTCCATTTCCTTCTTGTTCTGCACAGTACCTTGTTAAGGGCAGCTACCCTCTGAGCCAACTGGGCCTCTATCTCAGGTAAAGTCTCAGCCTTTTGAAGAGTCTGCTGAAGTTTCTGCTTGGCATCTTCCAGCCAGTCTTGTAGCTGCCTGTTTTTTTCTTCACTCTATACAGATATATAACTACTTTTAAGGGATTGTCAAGACACAAAACACTGCAAGATGAGCCATCATATAAATAATTGAGTATTACCCACTATCAGTATGCTTGTAAAAATGGAGTGGGGATGGGATGTGTGTAGAATATGGGAAACTACCAAATTATCTGCAGGTTATGTAGAATGTGAACATTAAGGTCAACCAGACATTAGCAGGGAAACACTGGAGCCAATGTAAGAAATAGAGTGACGAAAAGGCAAAGGTAGGAACTCACTTGTCTATAGAGAGATTCCTTACTGGCCAACTCATTCTCCAGTTTGTCATTGACATCATGAAGGGATGTTGCCTCTCGCTGAGCACTTAGGTAGCGTTTTTCTAATGTGGTAATTCGTTCCTCCATGTCTTCTCGCTGAGCTAATGCCTATTACCCATACCACATAAGAGAAGGAAAAGATTATAAATGGTAGGGGATAGATACTGTCTCCAATTCTCTGAAAACATAAGAAACCTCTGCCCAGATTCTCCACTTACTAGTTATGAGTTAAATTAACATTTTTGAGATCTTACAAATTCTTTTCAGTTAATTTGCCTATTACATGCAAAAGCTGTACATTTCATGACATGAAGCTATTTAGTATAGAGATAGTCCTCAATTTATGACCACAATTGTGATAAGAATTTTCATTGCTAAGCAAGGTTGTGGTAAATGAATTGTGCTCAATTTTATGACCTTTTTGCCAGAGTTGTTAAGTAAATCACTGCAGTTCTTAAGTAACTCATGCAATCATTAATTAAATCTGTCCATCTCATGATCATTTTTACTATGTTTTCTCTGCTTTTTCTAAAACTCTACAAGATTCCATCTATATACTACTAAACCTCTTGTGTCTGTAACTATTAACTAGATCAGGGATTCACAATCCGCAGTCTGTGGACCAGTACTGGGGCGCAGCATGCCAGCAACCGGTCCACACAAACAAGCAAAGCCCCATCCGTGGGATTCAGGCAGCACACAAACTATGCACAGTCCGATCTGCAGAAAACTACGCACAGTTCCATCTGCATGGAACAGGTCCCTGGTGCCCAAAAGGTTGGGGACCTCTGAACTAGATGAAAAGGTCCATCATGGGGAAAAACTTTTTCAATCAAAGTACTTAAAATGGACTAACTTATGAAATGCATCGAAGATCCAGAACCTATGGCTTCATGCTATTAAAATTTGGCAAATTTTATAAAATGTTTTATGACATAAAAATTATCATAAAGTATTTTGTGACATAATCCAAAATGTCATAAAACATTTCATGTAATCTACTGCTAATGTTGACTGTGCTATACAGTTCAATGTGGGCTATTTCAAGGTGACTATATCTCTGAATTTTAAAGAATTTTTCCAGTGCATTAGAGCTCTGCTATTGTTGAAGGCACTGAAGAATCTCAGAAATGATGGCCCAATGGGTCATGGGTTGACTTGAATTGGAGTTCATTTTCAGGGAACTTCTGTCCAGTACATGTCCAAAACCTCGAAAGACAAAACCTCTGGTCCTGGTGACCAATCCAGATTGGATCCTGCAACATTATCCTGGGACACATATATTCGCCTTCATTCATGGGTTGTCTAGTATTTTACGTATGGATGCCATTTAGCTTCATAAATAGCTTTACATTATTGGCCATTACAACACCAATCCCTTCTGAAAAACTCCGGATTACTATATTGGCCTCCTCCATTTTCACAAGCCATTACTGCTATGGGAATCCACTGATTGAATAAGATGTTTTTCTGAAAAACTCTCTCCAAATGATTCCCACCTTCTGAATTTCATAAGCTGAGATATTTGAATATTGATTTATTGCAGACCTGCCTATCCTAGTGCCCTCTTGATAAGTTTAGATTGCAATTCCCAAAGGTCTTTGGTCATGTTAACAGGGAAGAGGTACTTTCAGTATACCCAGAAGAGGTCAGATTAAAGACTTACTTGATCTAGATAAGAGATAACCTGCCATAAAATAAGATGGTATACCATTCATTGTCTTTTACCTCCTTGAGATCTCTTTGTAGCTTGGCATTAATCTCTTCAGATTTAATAAGATCTCGTTGGGCTGTGGCTAACTCTTCCTCCAGCTCTGCCATCTGCCGACAGAGCATGGTAAGTCTTTCTTTCAACTGGGATAGTTCTCCTCTCTGGCGCTCCAAAACCTCTTCCAGCTCAGATTCCCGACTTCCACGCCCCAAATCAAGAGTCCCAGATCCATTGGCCTAAAGAATGAAGAAAGTAAAAAGAGATTCATGTAAGTTAATCCTGCTTGATATGAACACTAGGTTCTTCATCCTCCTGCCATTATTCATGTTCACTGCATAAGTGAGGCCTATAAATTAGTTATAACAATCATGTTCTGTATGCAAAACAAAAACAAAAATCCCTAGCTTAAATCAGTGACATTTCTGGGGGGGGAATAGGGGGAATTAAAAAAACATCTCATTTAAGGGACTAGATTGGTGTCAGCAGAAGCAACACTACCACATTATCTACACACAGTCTGACATGCTAAAGTCACATCTTATAATCTTCTTTTGACAAAATACACTAAAAAACAAGATGCCTTAAGGCTAAGGGTAATCCCCAAGGTCTTTTTGCAATTCCTGGAGCCCTAATGATTCACTATTAGTGAAACATGATGTTAGAGGAAGCCAGGCAGCATAAGAAACAAGAGCCGAGGTGGCGCAGCAGTTAGAGTGCAGTACTGCAGGCCACTTTAGCTGACTGTGTTCAGCAGGTCAGCGGTTCAAATCTCACCGGCTCAAGGTTGACTCAGCCTTCCATCCTTCCAGGGTAGGTAAAATGAGGACCCAGATTGTTGGGGGCAATGTAAATACATATATATACATTGCTTACTGGTGTACACCGCTTAGAGAGTGCTTGCATTTAAAGCGGTATATAAGTCTCATAAATAAATAAATAAATAAAAAAATAAACTTAAATAGAAAAATGTCTGAGGGAATTAGGAACATTGAAAAAACAAAATACCTCACAACTGCTATATAAGAAGCTTTCATAACCCAATAAAAATTTCAAATATCTCCATATAAGGTCACAATGAACATGGCTGCTTGATCTAACCAACATTTTAAAGTACCTCTCTATACTTTAAAGAATAACAAGAGTTGGAAGGACCTTAGAGGTCTTCTAGTCAAACTCCTTGCTCAGGCAGGAAGCCCCATACTATTTCAGCAGGAAGCACTATACCATTTCACCATCCTTTCTACCACCCTTTTCTGCTTCCCTTCTGATTTGCTTTCCAGGGCTACTTACACATAATTGAGCATCTCCTTCTTTGCTGGAATCATCTAGGCCAGATCGGCGTCGGGCAAGCTGCTCTCGAAGGGAAAGAGACTGCAGAGTAGAAAGAGATAATGAAATTTTTAAAAGTGAGATATGTAGAATTGCATACAATTAATTTTAATGAATAAGAAATAGGGCAGCCCTTTCAGCAGCACTGAAGAATCTTTTAGTATGGAGAATATATTGCCAAAATTACATAAAATATTATGTCCACACTGTTTCACTATCATGAATTTTCACCTAGATTCTCTGATTGCATTCATCCATAGGACTATGTCAAGATTTTATGTAACCGTGATTTGTTCAACAAGTCAATATGGTCAATTCCCACAAAGTAATAAACTAATGCCTTCTGGCACCCATGGTATAACTATCAGACCTTTTAGTGGTACCATAACTCAATACCCTATGAAATCTTCCTGAAAGTTGCAGTATAAAAACTTTGAAATAATACACAGAGGTGGTCCACAAGAATATTAAGTTCAATATGTGGTAGAAATCAAAAGCCTCTAAGACAGTGATGGTGAACCTTTTAGGGACCGAGTGCCCAAAAACTGGCCCTATCCCCGCTCCACCTCCTGCCCCGACCCCACCCCACCTGCCGCAGGGCCACTCATTGCCTCCAGGGCATGCTGCAGATCGCCCAGGCAGCCCAGCAGCGCCATGGTGGCCACGCCCTCTGCCCGCGCCCCACAGCATCAACTATGCGCGATGGGGCATGAGGACAGAGTCTTGTCTACACTGCCTGGCTGCCATGTCCTTGGCTGCGCTGCTTCACATGGGCCATGCTTGGGGGCAACTTTCCTCCAGGGGGGGGTAATGGTGAGGAGGGGATCACGGGGGGAGGCAAGGCTGGGGCAATGGCATGTATGCCCATAGAGAGGGCTCCAAGTGCCGTCTCTGGCACACGTGCCATAGGTTCACCACCACTGCTCTAAGAGATCAAGCAGGATCAATGAACTTTCCTTTTGTCTTTATTTTATAAAGGATTATCTATCTATCTATCTCAAAACTGAAGAACTGAACTGAAAAAGGCCAAGACAATTGGTGTCCTCCAAAAATATCTGCACCTGCAAAAATTCCAATCTTTCAAGCAACTTACTCAAAAAGGCTATTTATGACTGAACAGTTCTTACTTAAATATGAGTATCCAAAGAAGGTTTCTTCTGGAATGGGCAAATGATTGCCTCCAACAATCCCACTGTATCACACAAAGATGCATTCACTCATCCCGTCAGTTCTTCCAAATAAGCCAAGATAAGCAATGATCAAGAGCTCATCTAGTAGGTTGAACAATGATACATCTTATCCTTATTCCCAAGTCTCAGATTCAATGTGAATGTTATATTTTGAAGGAAAGACCATGCAACAAAATCATGACAAAATGTGATCATATTCACCAGATGATGAAGAATAACTCGATGACAAAAGATATCTATAACTCAACATGGTAATATCCAGGCTGCTTCTCTCTTAAGAAGAGATAAAACCTAAGTCACAGATGTACCTTATTTTATGTCTTAAGTCTAGTAATAATTTGAGACAGACTCAGAAAATAATTGTCACTGAGATCATGAAACGTTTGAGCTAGCCTTGTGCAAAGTACCTTAGGATGATTGCTAAAATCCCTCAAGATAGTGCCCTAGAGTTTTCTAACTTCATATTTGAGACTACTTCTGTGACTTCAAATCAAGCTGCAGCACAGCAGGATGGTGGCTTATCAATAGTACTCTTAGCCTATCTCCCTAACCAAGTGTTGGATAAAAGATCTTAGAATCTTTCCCAGATTGGGGAGTTTTTCTGGGAAACAAGATAGCAATCCCCTGGCCCATAGCACCTTACCTACTCTTAGCCCTCACAATCTGGATAGATGCTGCACTGAGAAATCAAAGAACAATAGTTGAATCAGCTCTACAACTCCTACTCTGCCACCCAGATTTCAACAAACTATATCAGTTTAGCTTCTGAATGGGTTTCAATAAGATTATAAGTTAAACCCAAACCACATTATAGCTTAGTGCAAGAAATGACCTGTCCTCCAAGGTCCATAGATTGTATTTCACACTAAGTACTTGTATTGTGACTTTAGGTATGAGATAGGCCACTGAGCCGAATTTCTGAGATAATGCAGATCTGGAACTGTAAGTATAAAAGCAATGATCCTACTATCAGATACTGTTTAGAGGTTGATTGGAATAAGTAAACATCTTTCACGGCCTTTGATATTTTTCAAAGTATCCTAGACCCACAAGCCAACACAGAAAAGCAAGTTCAAAGAATGGACACCTGGACCTGAGTATTAAGTTTGGAATTCTGGAAAAACTCTGCAAATATATTTAATAATTTGTTTTCAACAGCCCAACTTACACTTATATGCTATCTTGCCTTCTATTATATTCACAACACACAATAAAATCTCCAAAGATGCAATTCTTTTGTCAGTCTCAACCACCACTCATGTGAAATCACTGATATTCAAAGACTCAGATCACATTTGTGTGGCAAAGTATTTCTGAAGTACTCTTTAGGTGTCCATAATATCCCTGAAAGTAGAAACAAGACCTCTTCCTTACCTCTTGATTAGATATTTCTAGCTCCTCCTCTAATACTGCAACACGCTCTAATGCCACTCGCAGCCGTTCTCGAACCTGCCATATATCAGAGATAGTTACAATTAGTAATGTATAAAGGAATAGTTGGACTTCCAGGTGAACATGGTGAATTAGATGTCTCTGAAAGACCAGAGATGCCACTGTGGTGACAACTTATGGACTGGCTCAATCAAATAGAACCTCTTCGGACAAGGAAGGACAAGAAATCGCCCTCTTGAGTTCCACATAGCTGCTTCTCACAAGATCACAGACAGCATTCATTCCGCAGGTCTGAGCACTGAGAGAAAAGGAAAACCATCAAACTCTGGTGTGCAGCCTTTTAAAAAATATTAGGTTTATCTAACCTCATTTTTGGATTTATAATTATTTCATAATTAAAAGAGGTCTTCCAAACAACAAGTTTGAAAAGCTATAACATGAACATAACCTATCCTAATTATACTTTTTTTTCCAGACATAAAGAAAAGTGAAAGATGTGAAGGAGGACTACATGAAAGAATTTATAGACAGATAGGATGAAGAGGTGAAACAAATTCCATCTGATATAGAAATATTGGAAAATTTTAAAAAATGGAATATAAAACAGATGATAATCAGAGTGGAATTAAAAATTATAAAGTAAAATTTTAAAAATGACCTGGGCAAGGACTTATTGCTGGATATAGATATAGATATAGATAGAGATAGATAGATAGATAGATAGATAGATAGATAGATAGATAGATAGATAGATAGATAGATAGATAGATAGATAGATAGATAGGGTTCCTAAAGCCTTGAAGAGGAAGAAAAGTTTGAATGGAGATTTAATCCCAAAATAGCAACTTGATGAATTAAAGATTAAGATTGTTAGAAACAAAAGAATAGAACATAAAGTTGACTTGATCAGGGATAAAATGATAATTATTTCTATAAGACTCTGTAAAGCCTTAATGGACTTTTGTCAACATTTGGCTAGAAACTATAATGATTTTTGGATTTGTGAATGGATACGATGAGGTATGGGAAGAAGTGAATTATATATATATAAAACCTCATAGGAGGTGGAGAAATATTAATTTGCTTCTACTTCTTGCAAGGAAGACTGGGAGTCACTTCTTTCCATATTTTTTTTCTATCTGTTTTCTTTTCTCTCCTGTTTTTTTTCTCCTTTTTCTTTTACATTTTGAATTTACATTTCTTTTTACTCCTTTCTTTCTGATTTCAGTTCATATTATCTTTTAATACTGCAAAACTTTTTAATAAGCATTTTTTTAAAAAAAAGAAAGGAAGGAATAATTATGCCTTGTGTCCTAATACAGGTGCCTCTGCTTGATTCTTCAGCCAATTAAGCTTTGCATCTTGAAAACACTCAAAATAATCCACCCCCTGTGTGCTGCTTCACATCGTGAGGGCTTCTACATTAATTTTAGCCAGCAAAACACTGGCTGATGGTGAAGGAAATATTTAGGACAGTACAGGTAAAGCTCCCTGTCTCCAAAAGCCAGGCACTCCCAGTTCCCCCAGTCAATAATTTTTTCACCTTCTCATCCAGAGCTTTGTGATGTTCAAAGAGTGACTTGAGAGCCTTCAGCACCTCCACCTCACTGGAGACTCCAGCTGGGGACTGAGCCTGACGCTTCACTACTGTCATGCGAAGGGAACGCTCATGTCGTGATACTAGGCATTCCAGATGTTCTAGCAGCAGCTAAGGAGAAGCAGTCAGATGAAGATGAAAGTTTGAGGAAGATACAATTCTGACTCTGTAAATGTCACAGTGGGTTCAGACTCAGAGTCAGAAGAGGGAACTGACGACAAGCAGCCAGCTCCAGTGTCCCCAGTCAGATTGCTGTTTGAGAAGGCAAAAGAGTGGGCCAACCTCAGCAGACAAAACTGCCATCGCACTCTGAAGATGAGGATACAGAATTGCTGCCCTCACCCAAAAAAAGACCTTGGCAGGCTGCAAAGAGAGAAGAGCAAAATGTGCTGAAAGATTGCTCACACAGAAAGAGTCTTATCCCCACTTGGATTGCTTCTACTAAAACGGGCCAACAAGCACAAGCTTTCCATTGATAACTACCACCCATTAACTCCCACTCTATGCACCTTGACTCATGAACCTCCCAATCCTGACATTGAACCTGGCCAGCTGACAAATCTGTTACAAACTCTTGATTACTCTCCTGTGTGCCGCATTCATTTGAATCTTTTGAAAGCTTTTGATTTGAAACTCTTGCTAAACTTTGGGGAAAACTTGTCTCTATAATGCAAACACATATGTTTGCAAGTCTCATTTAGTAAAGAACAAACTATCTCTTTGTGTATATTTGTCCTGGGATAGGACAGTAACTGGAAAGACAGCAAATGCCAAAATCATTAGAGTGGCAGGACTCTGCACAAACTTTCATTTGTTTTGCAGAACAAACAGTCATTGCCATAAACAGATAAATCAGTCAGGATGATAGCATTTTCAAACAGCAAGGACAGAAAGACAGTTTTGCTTTCAGATGCTGAGGCAAGCTCCACTGAGAAAAAAAAACAGCTTTTGGAAGTAGAAGGAGCTAAATTCTATTCTGATGGGAGAATAGGAGTCGGGATCCAAACAATTTACTAAAAATTAAAGAAACAGACAAATTAAAGTAATGAACAACTAATATAAAATAAATAACAGACATTAATAATTACAAAATCTCTTTTTGCCTATACACACATCTGCATCAAAATTATTTTTGTATAGTGTTTTACCAGTGCACGTACATAGTCATATATAATGAAAGAACATGATGAGAAAGGATAATTGACTTTGTACAAGGCTTTAGTTAGTATATTTAGGATAATATACTGTATGTATCAATAACACAGCACACAAAAGTAATCTTATAAAATACATGGACTATGTCAACAATCCATTTTGAGGTAAAATATCAAATATATTAGTTATATGAAGGCAGTAGACTTTGGGGAAAGGTATCATTTAATATTACCAATTAGTACAGTAGAATCTGGAAAATTCTAGAGTTCAAAATAAAACTGGAAAAACAGTGTTTTCTATTCCTTGTAGATCTTACCCGAGTGTTGTTCCGTTCTGCCTTTAGTTCTGAGATCTCCTCTTCACGTTCTGACAGTTGTTCCCTACATAAATTCAACTCCTTAGTAAGTGCTGCAAATTCCTAGTAGAAAAAACAGATAGTTGTGGTAAAGAGAAGCATTGAAGGGGAGACAGAGACACTTATCTCATGCATAGATTGTCCATGTTATGGTATAATGATCACCTTGAAAAAATCCCTATAACACTGAGAAAATATCCTATTTTTCTACAATACAATTTGCTGGCAGTTTTCCAAGCTCTCTTGAGAGTCATATTCTGGGGTGCACGCAGCTCTGGAAGCTTGGATTGAGCAACTTGGCCTTCATTATAAACTTGCAGTTTGACTAGGACATGCAAATAGGACCAGTAAATAAGTCAAAGATTTGAAGTGTGCACAAAGAATAAAAAAGCAAAATATTCCAAAATGCAAAACTACATAATGATGGAGAAAAATCTAAACAAAGATGCGTAGGAATCTAATGACCACATTCACAGGTTGTGCTCAATTTGCAACCAGACTTGGGACCAGAATTTCAACTGCTAAGCAAGGCATAGTTAAATTGAATTGTGCCTGATTTTACTTTTTTTTTTTTTTTTGCCATGGATGTTCAATGAATCACTGCACTTATTAAGTGAATCATGTGGATATTAAAGGAATCTGCCTTCCACCATTAACTTTGTCTGTCAGAAGTCTTCTGAGGTCAGAAATTGTGATCATGAGACCCTGGGATGCTACATTAATTAATGTTGGTTGCCAAGCGCCTGAATTTTGATCACCTGACTATGAGGATGCTTCAACAATTGTGAGTGCGAGGATCAAGTATAAGTCACTTTTTTCAGTGATGTTGTAACTTTGAATAGTTACTAATTGAATGATTGTAATTCAAGGACTAACTATACAGCAGTTCAAGGAACATGGGCTGTACATCTAACATTAGATGCTTGAAAAGAATGAACAAAGGTATTTGTTTTGTTTTGAAATCCTGGGCTCTATAATAACAGGGATAGGAAGTACAAAGTATGTTTAATAATATCCAGCATACCAACAGTGGGTTTTCTAACTGAATTTTCATTTGGGTCAGTACTTTCTTCAGTCACTAGATGGAAACAGACAGGCATATGGACCAAGTTTGCTAATTTATGAAAAGGTTCGTGCTTTGATTAGAGAAGGTAGTTTATTTCTTGTAAAACAGAGGGGTCTTCATCTTTTAAAGATCCACCCCGGTCTAGTAAAGTACATAAAAAAGTGAGATGGACAATATTCTAAAATCCATCTATTAAAGCAATCCAGGGGGAAAAAATGAGAGAAAAGTCAGATTAGAATATTGGCATGTATATTTTTTCATCAAGTATCATTATAACAAACCAATTTTTTTCCTTCTTTGCTTTCATATAAAGTAAAGCTACTATGCTCACAGCATAGCGACTGATACCTGTATTATACCTATTTTTCCAAGTAAAATCAAAATGTAAGTAATGTTTAGTTCTGAAAGGACAGATTCAAGAAAGCAATGATGAAAGAAAAGGTGCTCCAATTTGGGGACTGCATTCAAGATTCCTATTACAATTGGCGTTACCTTTGCTTTCTGTTGTATAGTTGTTCTATTTCTATTTGCAAGTCTTTGTATTTTGTTATCTTCTCCAGCTCTTTCTCTTCTATTTTACTGTCTCCAGGTACTGCCACGTCCACCAGACATTGTCTTTCTTATCAACAATTGTTAAGTCTGGGATGTTGTGTGGCAAATAGTTATTTGCTTGAATTTTACAGTCCTAGAGCACTTTAGTATCTTCATTTGTTTATTTTGGGGCCCCACTATTATTATTTCATTTACTTTGCTCATCAACTTTAAAAATAAAAAAGTGTCTGGATGAGGAAGCTCTGTAGCAGTGGTTCTCAACCTGTGGGTCGGGACCCCATTTGGGGTCGAACGACCATTTCACGGGGGTCGCCAAACAACAGTCCACCATTTTTTTCCCCTTTTCCTTAGCTGTGCTACTCCCTTTTATTCTATTGGCTTTTGAAAGCCAATAGAATAGACTCTCTTGAATAGAGTCTAATTCTATTGGCTTTCAAAAGCCAATAGGAATTGTCCAGGCTGTCTCTGCCCTGCTGAGCCCGCCAAAAGTCCCATTCTGCAAATGGTGCTGCACCAGTTGAGTAGTCCTCGACTTACGACCAGTTGAGTAGTCCTCGACTTATGACAGGTTGGGGGGTCACGGCATTAAAAAGGTTGAGAACCACTGTAGCATACTAGGTTGCAAATTATCTATGTCAAATTAAACAGATTTCTGATAAAAATATAAAGATGATGTTTCTCCAAACATTTCTCTCTTTTTGTTTTGGCAGCTGCAGCACACTCATATTTAAATGATTGTCCACTAGGACTCCAAAATCCCTCTCACAGTTACTACCTTACTATTGAGCTGAGGTTTTCTTTTTCTTTCTTTCTTTTCTTTCTTTCTTTCTTTCTTTCTTTCTTTCTTTCTTTCTTTCTTTCTTTCTTTCTTTTCTTTTCTTTTCTTTCTTCCTCCCTCCCTCCCTCTTTCTTTCTTTCTTTCTTTCTTTCTTTCTTTCTTTCTTTCTTTCTTTCTTTCTTTCTTTCTTTCTTTCTTTCTTTCTTTCCCGCCTGCCTGCCTGCCTGCCTGGCGCTAATACTTAAATCATTCATTTAAGTAACCATTCAAAGTTACAGCTACTTTGAAAAAAAGTGACTTACTCACACTTACAATCATCAAGGCATGATCAAAATTTGGGTGTTTGGTGATCAGCGTGTATTTACAACAGTTGCATTCCAGGGCCATGTGATCACCATTTGCGGATTTTCTCTGACAACTTCCAAAAAGCAAAGTCATGGGGGAAGTTGGATTAGGTTAATGACAACATGATTCACTTAGCAACCACAATGATTTATTTAAAAGCTGTGACAAGGAAGTCTATAAAATCAGGTACAACTAATTTAGCATGCTTAGCAAGAGAAATTCTGGTCTCAATTTTGGTCATAAAGACTGCCTATACCATTTAACCACCCAGGAATCATCAAAGGCTTCTCTTTATGTTTTCTACGCTGGATGTATGTTTGTAAATTTTCTAGCAGTAGCTTCAATATTTGCACTAATGTGCAGTGTTGTTCTTCAGAAACGTCTTTTTTAAAATAAAGTATTACTAAGAAGTTCCTCAGAGTTGATCAAAAAAATCAAGATGGCAGCTGCAGTTGTGTGACTTGAAACCCTGCTCTTTTGATCATGGAGCTGCTGTCTTGACTTTTTTTTTAATCCTTCCTTGCAGATACCCCTATTAGACTGTCACATCTTGATACACTGCTGTTAATATTACAAAGTAATTCAACAACATTGATTCTCTATACCAGCTAAACCTACTGAGTCTAAATCACTGGCTGTTCCTTCTTTTGTTCAGCTATGAATTTATATTAATCTGTTTCATCTGAAGATAACTAGAATTCATTTGTTACTGCACTTCAAATATTCTGATTTTCTTCATTTCAAAAAACATTTTTTAAATTATGGAAGAAATAAAAGCAAGCAAGTTCAAACAAGATGATTTGTAATTTGTATCATACTGATTTATATACAGTTCATATATCTAACAATTCTAGCTTTGTATCCCTTCTTATCATGGCTTGTTTGTTTACCCCTTACATGTTAATTGATTCTGCACTGTCTGTGACATTTTAATGTTTTTATAGTGAGCTTCACTCATGTTGCTACCAATCCATTTCTCCACTGCAAGGAATTATTTTGCATTATTTTTGTATTTTCTTTCCTTATTTAGTTTGACGTGCATGATTTAGCACAGTGGTTCTCAACCTTTCTAATGCTGTGACCCCATAATACAGTTCCCCATGTTGTGGTGACCCCCAAGTGGGTGTGGCCACCAATAAGAGGGAGTAGGACAGCTAGGGAAAAGGGAACAAAATGGTGGACAGCATGGTTTGGCGACCCCCATGAAATGGTCATTCGACCCCAAATGGGGTCCCGACCCACAGGTTGAGAACCACTGATTTAGCAACACACAGAACCTTTCATGTGGAAGGATGCTAAGAGAGTGGTAAGAAACAAAGTGCAGTTAACCTGTTATTATTAATATTAAATTATTTCTTTGTTTAAATGATTGACATTATCAGGTTTACTGTTTTTATTGTTTTAGTCAACAGGGATATTTATGTTACTTTATATAGAGGTATGTGGATTGTATATATTAGGATTACTTTAAGCCAATTTAATATTATTTAAATGCAATACAACATAAATTTAAGTAATAAAATGCATGAAATTTTCTCCAAGTTTTTTTATTATAATCTTATTGCAGATCTGACAATCCTTTCAACCATTTTGATACCTTTTGAAAATATATTGATTCAAAAGCTGATTAAAATATTAAAACTATTTTATTTTTACTACATAAAAAAATGAAACTCTGCATTTGTACTGAAGGCAACAGCCAAAGACAGTTATAACAAAATGCTCTGCTTTATTTTATGTGTAAAAAAACTGCTATCCAAACAAGTCAAATCCAGCAAATGTGAGAAGCATAGTATACTGTGCTTTAAATTACGCTCTTGATAATTATTCCAATGTTTTAAAAGCTCAGAAATGGGAATTTTAAATCCTACAGCCAGATTTTCTTCTTTACATTATTATTTTTTTTAGCAAAACCTTCCAAAGTCTCTTCTATATCCGGAATGTTTGGATTTAATTTAGAGCAAGGCGTGTGGTGATGAGGAGAAATTGAGGGAGGGCACAGTCTGACATTCTCAAAATTCCAGTCAAGCCCTGGTTTCCATCTTGGATGTTGGGGACCACATGACAAAATGGCAGCGTTGTAGATTTTCAGGACCCTTATGGCTATGTTATATAGCTATGTTATTTAATGTATGTGATAACAGTAGGCAGTCAGATGTTATCCAAATGTTTTAGATGCTAATTCTCACAATTCCTTTCACTAAAGTACCATACTAGACAGCCTATTTTTATGCTCCAGCAAAAAAATGTATACATATTCTAAACTAATAATGATTTCATAACTTCCCATATCACCTTTTTTTTCTCAATTGCATACAAAAC